TTTCTAATTTTTAACGTACAGTCACTCACCAACAATTCATTTTCTTCTGATGTGGTTCCTACTTTGATGAAACTAGGAGCTACTTTACAGATGTAAGTCAGGTTAAAAAAAGAAACCTAGGAAATGTAAAGTATTTATGCAAAACCCAACAGATCAAATAGGAGCCAGGCAAATTTAATTATTTTAGACTCACAATTTGGCAACCATTATCGGGTGTGGATTCTCAATATCTCTACCCAGAAACCTTTGTGGAAGCAATTTTCTTATTTAACATTTCAAGGAATCCGATGTAGGTAATGTTTTCTTAAGAGTTTGAAGGCATCTTACAAATCATGTAGTCAGCGGCCTCATATTACAGATACGGGGCTGAGACACAGAACGGTTAAGTTGCCCAAGTTTTAGGGACAGAACTCTGGATCATCAAACCCCACTCTGAGCATATAACACTGGGCCAGGCACTAAATGGAGGAGGCTCTCCTGACAGACACTTCCACAGCCTCACAGAGCTGGAGAGAATCCTTGGGATCTGTGGGCTCCATCCCCAGCCTTCCAGTCATGTGAATTCCCACAAACTATCTCGGTCAGCTGGACACCTGGTTGGTTCTTTGAAGTGTCTGAGGAACATCGTGCTGAGGGTCAGAGCACTGCCACCTACTATCCTGAGCATCACTTCCATCCCACTGATGAAGAAACAGCCATAAAGATGATTATTTTGAGTTAGCACCCCAGATGGATTGAAATCCCTTTCTTATTTATAGACTCAGGTGTTACCAGGGGTGGCTGCAGCGGGAGAAACTCCTAGGAAAGGCACCAACTGACAGGAGCTAACAAAGGGGGAGCGGATGGGACTGGGGCTTGAGTGGTGTTCAGGAGAGCTAGTTTTAAGACCTCCCAGATCACCCTCCCTGTAAGCCAGTTATCGGTATCCAAGTGCTTTAACACAGGCTTCTCAGAAGAAATTGTTATTCCTACCATTGTTTCATACCAAAGCTTCATTATGTGCTACAGTTCCAATTTCTTACACAAGAATGAAAAGGGTTACCAGTACAGGAAGTTAAAAAAAAAAAAAAAAAAAAAGACCGAATGATTTAAGCTGTTTCTGAGTCGTTCCTGTCATAAGAAACAATCAAGGCACCAGTTTTGAAATGGGAGAAGCATTCTAAATGAAACTGTTAGCTTGCCCCTTGACATAAATTTCGTTCCTCGTTTATTCAGTATCTAACATCCAAGTCTCCAGCAATACGTTATCTGAGAGTTTGCAGTATGACCAGCTGAATAATCAGTATATGAGGTTTCATAGGGGAGACAGACATGGGTTAGAGGTGCCAGCTTTATGTATCGGGCTGTGTGTGTGTGTGGTGAGAGAGAGAGAGTGCAAGAGTGAGAGATTCAAACGTTAAATGTTACTGAGAAAACAAACGAGACAGATTATCCCCCAGCAGCTTGGAAGTGGGTGCAGTTTGGTGAGATCTGACTGCCTCTGCCTGACTCCCAGGCCACTTACTACCTTAGGCGAGTTGCTTCCCTTAGCTCTTTGCCTTATCTGAAAGATAGGGATTAATGAATAGTTCCTACTTCTTGAGGTTCATGCTGTATTAAACTACACAGCACACGTAGGGAAAGTGCGGTTCACTTTGGTGCATGGTACGAGTTAGCTGCTGTTATTCCTGGGAAGCTTCTGGCCTAAGGGAAGTCATGTCTTCAAAGAAGCCCTCCAACCTCCTCCCCGGATGAGCCAAATGGTCCAGATGTGAAGCTCTTAGAGGTGAGGCTTCCATGTGTGGAACAGCACCCTGGGAAAAGTTAAGCTGCTGCTGCTCTGGGGAGGGACTGACTCATGGGAGTTGGAGGGCGTCCAGGGCTCCTGCAGCTTGTTCCACGGCTGGGGTCCAAAAAGGTTCACAGAGACGGGAATGTGGGCCCAGCACAGCCTCCCTGGCCGGCCTACAGGCTTTGCAGCGTGCACTCGCGCTGGACGGGCTGTGACGGAGAGACTGGCTGATGTCAAGCAGCCCTGGGCTGGAGTGTCCCTCTCGGGGCCTGAGAGATTGGCCACCACACAGAGCTGGCAGCAATTCCCATGAGTCCCACCTTCTTGGGTGGATTTCTCTCACCAGAAGCTTTGCTCCCTGCTCCTGGGTACTCCCTCCTGTGTCTGTCCACAGTCCCTGTGTCTGTCCTACAGGAAGTGGTTTTTGACTCTGGTTCCAGAGGTCCTGTCCAGGGACAATGGAGATGCTTGATTGTGAGTTACTGCTGTTCCCCAAGCATTGGGGGCGCTGGTCACCTCACTTGTTCCTTTGCAAGCGATTCAACTCAACACCACCTCAGTCTCTCCCACAGTTGCAGACTTAAAAGGATAAAACTCTAAGGACAAGGTTGTCACCACTTCCATTTGAAGCCTCCCTCCTACCACACTACTTCCCCCATTGGTTCCCTCTTCTCTTTCTTGGCCTGTGCACTGGCATCACTGTCACCAGCGATGGGCTTGCCTTAGTCTCTTCTCCCTGCTCCTTACACTTCTCTCCCAGACTCTGCTCTGAGCAGCAGGACTTTGCTCCATGTGTGGTGCTCTGGAAGCCGCCTCTTTCCTCTCCCCTCAGATTCTCAACAGGCTCGCACCACTCTGTCCCTTGCACTCAGCTCTGCTCATGGTTTCCTCCCCTGGGCTAGGCCTGAGCAACAATATCATCCCCTTCAAGTCTTCGCAATTTATGCTAGCAGTTTTAAAAAGCAGTTAAAGCCCTTCAGACCACACCATCAAAATGCCTGGACAACTCAACTCCTGTCTGAGGGTCTGTTCCAAACTTCTCATTTCCTTTTGGGAGAGGAAATTGTCACTGATTATTTTCTAAGCATCTAAGAACAGAGAGAGAGCTGCCTGCTCCACTTTGAAAATCAAATTCCCCCACTAGCAAGAGCCCAGACATCCACCCCGGCACCCTGGAATGGGAAACCCCCAGCAAAGCCTTGCCAGGTCCATGGGGGCAGAGCTAGTGCTCTGTGGGTCCTAGGATTGCTCAGACATGGCAAGTTTATTAAAGCACCCGTTCCAGAGGAAGCCAGACTGGAGAACTACAGGGAGGGGCATAAAAACAAACTCCATAAATTAAAAATAAAGAGAAGGCAATCCTCAGAGACGATTCTTCATTCTTTCCACTCTTTTTGAGGACAGATGGGAGGATGGATGGCTTTGGGTTGGAAGCAACATAGCTGGTGTCACAGAGGCTACTGAACAAAGATCAGCTATGGGTGGAAGCAAAAAACTAGGGCATTTCAGTAATTCACAGAGCAGAAAGGAAGCCACACTTTTGCCCAACAACCAAGTTTAATGGAGCCATTCCACCACTTACCTTGGAACCCCATTCAGTGTCTGACAATTCTGTCAATGAATTCTTCCTGCAAGCTCACCTAAACTCCTCTTGCTCTGTCCCTGGGATAAGAGGGAGCACCATTTTTCACGTAATCTTTTGTAATAAAATGTACTAAAATCTACCATCATTACTTCTCTCTTCTCCAAGCAGGCACAAAAGGATATTGTCCAGACTTTGGTTCTTGTCTCAGCTGCCCCACACTGACTTAGGGCCGTGGGCTCACAGGGAAGCCCTTCATATGCACCCCCCTCTCCTGCTGGCCCTCCTCCCTCAGCCGCATTTAATTGAGGGACAGCAGGTTCCCCTGAAATAATAAACATCACCACAAAACATCATGTGGGTGTGACAATTATTTCCAAAGCTGTCTGTTCTTAGTTTTCAGAACGTGCCACCCATTACATGCTATTTTCTTCTCATACAGCCAGCCTCATTTTAACTTTACTTTGTCATTATTTAACTCCTTAGCGAATTAACTTCTGTCAGGGAGATCACCTCTGGATCATTTCTTTCCTCTGTTTAGTTGGCGAGAACTTGTCAAAAGCACGTTATAGAAAGCCTCCTGGGAAGACACATCTTTATTTTGTAGTTACTAGCAGCAGGGATTTGCTCCAACCATAAAGGAAAAACCATGAGACTCCCAAATTTGTAGCTGAGTGGGACATCGACATTTTACTGGAAGCCTCTGTATTATCTGTCAAGATGGTAACCAAACTTAGAATTCTCCCAGAAACGCTGGGCTGTTACTTCTGATGAGACAGCCCTGAGAAGGAGGCAGCCAACTTGCTCTGCCAGCGTGATCGTGTCTGTCTTGTTTGTTGTTATCGACCCCAACGCACGCCTAACTCTTCCGCCCTACCGAGTTCCCATGAATCCCACCGAGGCCCTTTCAGAGTCCTGCCAGGCAATGCCTGGACAGCATCTCCACCCACTGTGCCCAACCCTCCTCCCTCTTCTGAACTCCAACTCATCCTCCAAAACCCAACCGAAATGTCACTTTCCCAGCAGAGCGGCTCTGATAGTCCTCCTCCACCCATTGTGTTAATCTCTGAAATAAAGCCGTCCTGTCTGGCAGTCACCTGCTTTATGTTGCTCCTCCACTGGATGTGGGCCCCACACAGCAGTAGGGACTTTACCTACTCCTCTGAGCGTCTCAGTGCCCAGCACAAAGCCTGCAGCAAGGCAGTGTTCACAGCCTAGTTTTTGAGATTAGGGGGAAGCTTGATTTAAACATTCAAGCAGTCACTGAGATCAACGAGGATTCTCTCTTTGTTGCTGCTGTTATTTTTCCCCAGGAAAAAGCTCTTTGGCTTCGGACCAGTATCACAGTATCTCAGTATGTTTTGATGAATGGATAGACTGACCTGTAGCACAAAATGCAAGATGGACACCTCCACTCCCTCCCATTGGGGGCTCTCTTCCATCTTTCCGTACCTTGGAATCCTTTCAGCTAACATACCAATGCCCATCAGTTTAAAACAACCCTCAGTGCGCAGGAAGGGCACAACCACCCTCCCCTCATTTGCCATGGGGATCACATGACCCCCACATCCTTGGTCCAGGGCAGACCTGGGAATCTCTGCAGCGCTGGCCATTGAAGAGTGCCTGCGGAAGCAATGGACAATCATATCGTTGAGTTAAGTTTTTTTTTTAATTTTTCACAAAGAGCTCCAGAAGGCAAATAGTTTATCACTTCCCGCCCTGAAACAGCACACAAGACAGATGATGCAGTGTGCTGGCTGTCCGCTGTTTCTGGTTCTCCAGAGCTCCTGCAGCAGGCCTGAGTGAACCGCAAGCGGGGCCCATGCAGTGCGTCCCCTGCAAAGCGCAGGTGTTCAGTCCACACACAGCAGCACCAGCACTGCTGACGTCACGGTTGTCTGTCCAGAAGATCCCACGTTAGATCCCAAGAGGAATCCAGACAGGCTTTAGCTTCCAGAGGCAGACAGCGGGTGCCAGGGCCAGATGCAAAGGCCTCTATACTGACGGCCTCACGTGACACTGCAAAGGTCAACTGTCTTGGTTTAGGACTATAAGGGAGAGATAGGACAAATAATGAGGTCGAGGAACCTCTGGATTGCTAAAGAGATGACTTTAAAAAAAAAAGTCACATCTTCAGCTCACAATGTTCACCAGAAAAGAATACTGCTTGAGATTCTAGACCTGAGCAGGGAGAAACAAACTGGGCTAAAGGAGCCAGAACTTCACAGTAGAACAGTCCTAGTCTAAAATGCTAGAATTTAAGTCCAATGTCTTTTAAGAGTGAGAGTTCTTAAATCTGTCAGACCAGCTGACAGGGGAACAGGAAAAAAAAAAACTTCTTTATTAAACAAAACACCACAAAAATCAACCCAAACTTCCTTCAACCCCAGCACCCCAGCTACCTCCCACCCCGTTAAAAAAATCATTAAAGTCATGCACACATGCACACACTCAAATATGAAAACAAAAACCAGATACCCAAGGAAATCTTAGGAATCACCTAAGGAATTTTCGCTCGCTCCCCAGATGCGCTTTCTGTTTTTCTGGGGGTGGGTGGGAAAGGAAGTCACACTGACTGCTAAGTCTAAGCGGCACAATTTAGAGCTGGGCGAGATCCCTTCCCTCAGCGGCCTGGCTTGCTGGTCAGCGTAGAACAGTACCCACAGTGAGTCGGGAAGGAAGGCTGAGGCTGGTGTCTGGTGGAAGGCAAGCTGCCTATTGTCCTAAAGTGGGGACCCGCTCCTCGCCTGGGGAGGTGAGGCTACCTGGCTGCCTTGACTACCTATTTGCTGATGGGACAGCTTGGTGATCACTTTCTCTAGACTCTGAGCCATGCTGTTCAACCTTAATGTGGGAATCAGTATCACATGGGCAGTGAACTGAAGAATTACGTATCTGGTTTAAAGTTTATCTTACACTCGTACACTAAGCTTGTGTATGTAACACCACCCGCCTGTGGGCTCTGCTCTGAAGGGCCTTCCCCATGAGTTTAAGTGTGAAGCTCAGGATTTGGGGTGTGCACGGCCCCCCATATGGCTGCATGGTGCATGGACACTGACGAGGAATGGTGCTTGTATGGGATGCCTGGGAGGGTTTTTCTGGAGACAAAAATTTATAGATTGAGGGCGTGAGAACATAAACTTGAGGAAAACCACCAGGATCTATACTAGGATGACAGATTGTGGAGTGGGAAGAAATCGTGTAGTCCAACTCTGCATTTTACATAAAATCAATCTGTGAAGAAAGCAGAAAGGACTCTCAGGGGATATCTTTTGAGAAAGGGTGTCTGCCGGGATTCTGATTCCAAGAGCTTCCCTGGTTGCTGGCCTAAATCAGTTGACCAGCCCTTTGTTTCTGACCAGGTTTCTCACCTGAGATAGAGAATCATTTGTTTCCAAACAGTTCGAATCCCCCATCCACAGGCCTCCCTGAAAGAGCCTGGCTGGGAAATTCAGGAGAATCAGATTGCCGAACCAATGTGTCCACACCCACTTCTCCCCTGGGTGCCATGGAAGTCTGCAACATCTGTTTCTCTGCCTTATCCTAAAGACAATGTCTTCGCCACATTTTGCAAAATAAATAATTCAAAATATAAAGAAAAACCCTGGCAAGAATAGTTGCTGGCCTGAAAATGTGCTCTGTCTCCTAGCAGTGACTCATAGAACTCACACCTGCGGTGGGTTCTCAGGCTAAGGGGTGGAGCGGAGAGCGTGAAGCTCTGTAGCAGCGCGCAAACCCGGGACAGGGCAGGACGCACAGCCAGCCCTCACCCTTCATATATTACATTTATCTTTATAAATAGAGCATCCTGACCCAAGTGGCCATAATAAAAAAAGACAAATGTTGAGTTTTTCCCCTCCAATACCTACACAAACTGTCAAATGTCTACTAAATTATATCCACATGGCAAACTGGTCACCTCTATATGGGAGCTCCAGCTGTCATGATGGTCACAGGCCAAGTCTCAGCCAGACCCAAATACCCATCCCTATTAGATAACAAGGACTAAGTTTTTTTTTTTTTTTTAAATCGACTTTTCAATAAGGATCGTGACAGAATCCTTTAAATAAAAAGCCAAATAAATATGATTTTAAGTGATTGATTCCTGTCCCCCAAACGTTGCATACACAAGTTTTCAATGTCATATAAAACGGAGAAACTAGACCAATGAAGGTTGTCCAATTGGTTTGGCGTTTTCAAGGTCCCATCTGTCACATAAAATGGACCAGCTAGACCAATAAGTGTGGGTCTAGTTGGCCTGGCTGCCTTGACTACCTATTTGCTGATGGGACAGCTTGGTGATCACTTTCTCTTAAACAAGACTCTGAGCCATGTTGTTCAACCTCAATGTGGGAATCAGTGTCACACGGGTAGTGGACTGAAGAATTAGGTGTCTGGATTACAGTTTATCTTAACAGTTTCCAGAAAGCCTGTCTTTTAGCCATCTTGGGAAATTTGTGTTGAATTTCCTTATTTCCCTCCACTGTCAAAAGTATGTTAATTTCGATTTATCACATGAGATCACTTTGGTTAGATGACTGTGACCACTAAAAACAAAACAGAAAACTGGAGCGAACGGATGAATAGCCCTTTAGAAAAACCAAAGGATGTTGAACCGATGTGGGTCACACTCCCAGGGAGGCTTCATAGCTCATCCCTCGAAGGCACGGTGTCCAGGGAGGTTGGCGGTGGCAGGGCCTCTGTGTTCTTGGCACTGCTGTAGATACGACTTTGCTTCCGGGACTTCCAGGCATGTGTCCTATCCCAGTCGGTGGCCACTGTCTCATTGTCCCAGATGGTGGAGGTCTCGGTGTCACTCAGGTACCCCGGCTGGCCTGTGTAGTGCGTAGGGTAGATGAGCAAGGGTTCTGCAGAGAAGGCTTTCAGGTCCCTGGATTCATAATACTCCTTGTACTCAGCTCTGAAAACAAGAAGGTGGCCGGACACATGAGGGGGTGGAAAGAAGACTTAGGGAACAGAGACAAAGAGTGAAGGAGCCCTGCTGGTTACCTCTTAAATTGTCATGAGTTCATTATTTAAATTGTGTCATTTGTGAAACACTTTAGCCTACAAACACAAAGATTTCTTTAAAAGATTTCCAAAGACAAGCTCCCAAGCAAAAAGGTCAGGATATTTCTGATGTATTTGGATAGACTAGTTTAAAAGATGAATTTCAGGTCTGACTCCAAAAATTAAAAAGCAAGCCCTGTTAGACCATAATGATAAATATTTATGATCACTTTACAAAAAATGTCCTGCTCTTGGATTAATAAATGAGACACCCGAGATCTGGACAGCAGCGATGGGGCATGTGGCACATGGAGGCTTAGAGGCATGTAGGCTTGGCTTTGTGCGCTAGCTCCCTGCTCACCACTCGGGCTCCAGCAGGTGTAAAGGAGACGGATAACTTGGCCTCCCTCCCAGGGCTCCAGCACAGAGTATATGAGATGACATCTGAATGTAGTAATTTCCCTTTTGTTTAGGGGATAATGGTTTGACCTCCATGTTTCTGCCAGGACACAGAGATAAAGTCAGTCTCTGACATGTTACATACACGAAGGCAAACAGCTCCATTTTTACTGAGGACAAGAGACAAAATGAACTGGTGGCAGCATAGGAAATCTCAACACTAAAATGAAGGCCATCTAGTGAAGAGATCACCCAGCAACTGAGAGAAGGGGCCAAGGTTAGAACCTATGCTGCTCTATTAATGAATTTAGGAATCATTCATTCATGATTTAGGAGCTGCTGTTATGTGTAGCATTTGGACTAGGCTCTAAGGACACAGAGGCATAAGACTGTTCCTGCCCCAAAGGGTATTTAGAGTTTACTGGGGAGACTGACAGGTAAACCATTAATTGCCACACTTTTTGATAAGCGCTAGGTCAGGGTAAGCTCCTGGGCATCACACTGCCCTTCTTCCATGGATATCATGCTCAGGTATCAGGTCCACACTCTCTGAACCTCTTATACATCCCTGTGATTGCAGGAATCAAAATATATCATGATGATTTGTTCACGAGTCGGGGTTCCTGACCAGATTGTGACCTCTTCAAAAATGGGTATCTCTGCCTAGCCAAAAGTACACACAATGACCTGAACCAAAGGAACTGGAAATTTTGAGGTGCTTAGGAAGATGACCTTCACCTTGAGGTGTATGAGGTTATGGAAATAAGAAGAGCAAAGACAAGGAGGGGACCAAGCACATTACATTCAGTGCAACTACAAACTGGGTATTACAAGAATCCCTGGGCAGGACACTCACCATCTCTGCCTCACCTTCCCATCTGTACAAAGGGATAATCATCTGAGTTAGGCTCTCTTAATCATAATTATGAAAAGATCATTTAGGAAAGCAGTACAACTTTAGAAAATATCAAGTACTGCCAGAAATGGAGAGCATAATTCATGAAGAGGCTGTACTTAAGGGAAGGCAGTCAGTTCAGGGAGACTCACACAGGATGCTTGTTGTACATGATTGGCAGAAACTCATCCACTGGCAGCATCTTCCCAAAAGGATCGGCTCCAACCAGCTTCTGTGCTCCTTCCAGAGAGATGACGTAGCCCAGGGTCCAGTAGGAATAGTCGGCTTCGACCAGGTTTGCCACATTGGGCACGGCTTTCTCTGGTTCCTTTACTTGCATCCTCTTCCTGCCAATATAACTATAAGGAAACAGCAGAGGAGAAAAATTCCACCTTGACTATTATGCCATGATAAGGATGGAGAACAGCTTTGGCTTACATAGATACCTTTGAAATCCTGGACTGACTCTTGTCTGTCATTAAATGATGTATCACATCCTAAAGTGGATCCAATCACCAGTCATGACTGCCATCTGCCATCACTGGGGCCATTTTGCTGGCTGCATTTATCAACACCCCCACTATTCCTGCCTAGTGGACTGTTTTCAAGCCAGAAAGTAAGATGTAGTAAGATTAAAAGATCTTTCAGATAATTTCTCAAAGATGGGATGGGGCTTCCAGCTGTGTTTACAGAGGTTGGAAAGGCACAAAAAAAGGCCAGATGGGAGAATCCTGAGGCTGCTGTCTTCAGGTCCCCAGAGTGTCAGCCTTGGATGCTTTCTGCACAGCGCTCCAAGTGCTGGTGGGAAACACAGGACCAAATAAGCTGGGGGAAAGAATCAGTCTGCAGTGAAGGTTCTGGGAACCCAAGAGCGGCCCTAAGGGGTTCCTTTTGGGCAGTATGAATGACAGCTCCTGACAGACATTCTCCTGCGTCACACTCGCCCAGCTGTGGCCAGGCTTCCTCCCAGACATGCTGCTCAGAGAAAGACCCCTCAGGTACTTTCTGTCCTCCATGAACAACTTCTACAACGCGGGATGCACCTTTGGCCACTCCCATCTTCCCTAGTCTACCCATGGATCTGTGCTTCATTACTTTTGTCTGGAGCCTATTGGTTTGGGCTTGACCGGAGCAAGCTGAGGAGTTGCCTCCTTGCCTGCCAGGTAAAGCAATACTTCCTCTATTTTGCCCTAAAACAATCTCTTTCAACATTCAAGGAATTTCCCCTAGTGAAAGCATCCCAGGATTCGTAGAACAAGTCTATGTTCAACCTTCAGTTCTTCTGAGGACAACAAACATATATCCCCAGCCACTGTCTCTTCAGATTATGGAGTCTGAGCTTCTCTCGTATCTCATCCACTGAAAGGGAAACTCTTATCGAGCACTTGAGAGGTGCTAGAGTGACAGAGGTACTGAGTCAGTGCTCTAACTTTACTTAATTTAATTTAAAATGTTGAAGCTGTGTGAAATATATTTATTTTTTCCATGAAACAAGTTCATTGTTTTGGTAGGACTACAGTTTAACAGCTGAAAATTTAGCTTCTGGATTGAGATGTGTTCTAAGTGTAAAATACATACCAGATTTTGAAGAGTTGGTACAAAAAAAGAGAAGATAAACTATGTCATTAATGGTTTTAAAATATTAATTACATACCAAAATGATGATACTGTTTGGATATATTTGGTTAAATAAAATATATTAAAACTAATTTAACCTAATTTATTTTTACCTTTTTAATGTGATTACTAGAAAACTGAAAATGACATATGTGCCTTGCATTATATTTCTAATGAACAACACTCCCTCGATGATTCCAATGACTTGTTCTATTCTTCCCTTTTATTACTCTCTTTTCCTGGAAAAATGTAATGTGGCAATCACGAACAGCTTATTACCTTTCATGTTTCAGGTTGAAGTAACATTTGTTTCTTTTTTGTTTTAGAAAATGACAGGTACAATTTAAAACTGTTATAGTTCTTTAAGACTATATAATAGATTTTAAGGGGATATTTTGACAATATGTGAAATTTAGAAAACGTTTTTCTTTTCCTGTATCCTTATCAAGACAACTGTTCTTCCTTCTTGGATCTGTTGGTAATTCGTCCTGAGAAATGCACCCACTGAACTACATGTGAACAGGAACGTATGCCAGCTCTAAACCTTATATTCCCTGGGTTGTCTTCTGTGATTATGAGGCTTAAGTGAAAGTTGCCTTTATACAAGTCACATAGGCATCAAGCAGCTTCCAGGCCTGTGAGGCCTTAACCATAGGCTGCGGAGCCATCCATTGAGAAAGGCTGAAGTGTAGCAACTTCCAGAGGATATAGGAAGAAACAGTGATCTCAAGGGACTGTGCAGAATGCCAGATCTAACCACATGACCACATGATTGAAATCTGACAGGGCGCAGGTGTCTTCTTATTACACAGTAATGCATTAGTTGAGCCATTGCTAGGTTTCTTCTGAGCTCAGAGTGGCCCATTTTCTGAGGGAACAAGTATTCCACCTGGGCTCATGGTTAATACCCCCTGCGGGTGGGAGGAGCAGGAACAGCTCCTCTGCTGCAGCTGCTCCAAAGAAGCAGGCTCAGGCCGGGCGCGGTGGCTCAAGCCTGTAATCCCAGTACTTTGGGAGGCCGAGACGGGAGGATCACGAGGTCAGGAGATTGAGACCATCTTGGCTAACACGGTGAAACCCCCGTCTCTACTAAAAATACAAAAAAACTAGCTGGGCGAGGTGGCGGGCGCCTGTAGTCCCAGCTACTCGGGAGGCTGAGGCAGGAGAATGGTGTAAACCCAGGAGGCAGAGCTTGCAGTGAGCTGAGATCCGACCACTGCACTCCAGCCTGGCGACAGAGCGAGACTCCGTCTCAAAAAAACAACAACAAAAAAGAAGCAGGCTCAGAGTTGATGAATTGCCTTTGACACACAGCTGGGAGCAAACACAATGCTTGGGAACTTTCTGCTTCATTGGAGAGAAACTGAAAGTGTCATTTGTTTTAAAAAGAAAGTGAGAGAGAGAAAGAAGGACAAGGCAGAGGAAGAAGAAAAAAAAGAAAGGAAATGAGGGAGGGAGAGAGGGAGAGGAAAAATGAAAGGAAAGGGAAGAAAAAAGTAGAAGCCGCTCAATTCCCAGAGACAGCAGACAAAGAACATTAACTAAATGTCAGCTCAGAGCCAGCACTCACTTGGTGAGCCTGGTTTTCCTGCGTCAGCCTCAGACCCTTCCCCAAATCTAGTTGTCCATGTTCTCCATGTTTGTGCAACCCCATTTTTCAACAGAGGAGCTCCCTGGCTGACCCTCTAACCTCCCACCTTCTCGGAACTTGCAGAGGCAACCTGCTGTCCTGGGAGCTGAGGCTTAAATATGACACAGGACTTTTGTACTTGAATAAATGGCCTCTCCTCCCGCTTCACACCCACTCCATGTGCCACGTTGCTTGAGGGTAGATTTCTGCTGTGCTCCTAAGTAAGTGCTCAGTGCCACACCTTGGTTCTGTCTGAAGGCCCCTGATCTGCAGACAGACTCCAGGTCTCACACAGTCTTCCACAGTTTCCCACCCTGAAGAGTAGAAGGATGCAAAATCCAGCGGCTAACCTCTACCCACTTTTATTTCTGAGAACAGTTATGGAAAGAAAACTAGGTAAGTAGAAGCTTAAGCTGTATCTCTACTGGCTGTGGAGGTGGGGCTCTCTGTCCATTGGAAAGGATTGAGTGCCTCTCAGAGCCCTCTCATAAGATCATCTTGTCACTCACATTAGTTCCCAGTCCAGCTGAGCCTGGTCAATGTCATCCATCAGCTTCATCAGCTTCTTCTTAAACTGATGCTCAAAACGCACATCGTCTTCAATTACAAGAGTCTTCTCTAGCTCTCGATCAATTACCTGCAAAAGTCATCAGTAGGAATATACCCTATGAAAAGCTTGATACCCAATTTTTATTAGATAAATAAGTATTAAAAAGTCATGAGTCTAGTAGCATAGATTCATAACTGGAATCTAAGCAAACGGCCATCAACAGTAGAATAGATAAATAAACTGTGGCATATTCACAGCAGTGAGGATGTATGATCCACAATTAAATGCAATGTTATGGGTGAATCTCCTAAATGCCATGTTGGGAGAGTCCACATACTGCATGGCTCCATTCATATATAGGAAAGTACAAACAAAGGTAAAGCTACTCAATGCCTTTAGAAATTAGGATGGTTACTACCCTTGGGGACTGGTGACTAGAAGGAAGTACGGGGTCAGAGGGTGCTTGTGGGATGCTGGTGACCTGCTTCTGGATCTGTGTACTGATTAACATGGTGTGTTGTTCTGTTTGCGAAATTTCCCTGAGCTGTATCTTTTGATCTATAGACTTTTATACCTATTTAATCACATGTCACTTAAAGTTTAAAGAAAACAAAGGCAGGCATAGACTGGATCATTAAAAGAGAAAGTGTTCAAGGGGCCTTTCTTCAGGGACTTTCTGTTTGGTTGTGGAAACTGTTTATCAGGAACCCCACACACCAATACCCCCTCCAGATATGTCTTGATCTGTAAGACAGGGGTTCCAGTTCTGGCTCTGCCACCTCTTTTTTCTTTTCTTTTCTTTTTCTTTTTTTTAATTATACTTTATGTTCTAGGGTACATGTGCACAACGTGCAAGTTTGTTACATATGTATATATGTGCCATGTTGGTGTGCTGCACCCATTAACTCGTCATTTACATTAGGTGTAACTCCTAATGCTATCCCTCCCCGCTCCTCCCACCCCACAACAGGCCCTAGTGTGTGATGTTCCCCTTCATGTGTCCAAGTGTTCTCATTGTTCAATTCCCACCTATGAGTGAGAACATGCGGTGTTTGGTTTTCTGTTCTTGCAATAGTTTGCTGAGAATGATGGTTTCCAGCTGCATCTATGTCCCTACAAAGGACACAAACTCATCCTTTTTTATGGCTGCATAATATTCCATGGTGTATATGTGCCACATTTTCTTAATCCAGTCTGTCATTGATGGACATTTGGGTTGGTTCCAAGTCTTTGCTATTGTGAACAGTGCTGCAATAACCATACGTGTGCATGTGTCTTTATAGCAGCATGATTTATAATCCTTTGGGTATATACCCAGTAATGGGATGGCTGGGTCAAATGGTATTTCTAGTTCTAGATCTTTGAGGAATCGCCACACTGTCTTCCACAATGGTTGAACTAGTTTACAGTCCCACCAACAGTGTAAAAGTGTTCCTATTTCTCCACATCCTCTCCAGCCCCTGTTGTTTCCTGACTTTTTAATGATTGCCATTCTAACTGGTGTGAGATGGTATCTCACTGTGGCTTTGATTTGCATTTCTCTGATGGCCAGTGATGATGCTCGCTCTGCCACTTCTTACCTGGACAAGCGACTTAATAATTTCTTCTTCGGTAAAAGTGGTCTGTCCTTCCCAACCCACCTCACATGACTTCTGTGTGATTTCTTGTATAAAATCACTTAATAAGTGACATCATAATAGGCAGAATAGAAGGCATTCCTGCTCATGATGAGAATGAATTAATAAGAGTGTAGCATATAGGATATGGGTATCTCCCCGTCCCCATCCCAAGTGGCACCAAAGCGACTCCTCCTTGCCCATTTGTTGCTGGTCTTGGGTCAGAGGGAGACACAAGGCAGGAGCAGCTCTCACACACACTTCCAGAACAGTTGCAGGCTCATTTTATATCTGGTCCTAATTCACCTGCGATAGCCTGCTTTCCTTTCTCCTCGTCATAAAACTGCAATCTGAATAAAGCATTATTTACCTCTTTCCAGACTGAGTAGTGGCTGAGAAAGCAGCCGATTTCACCCCTCGTTAGAGGCCTGGAGGAATAGGGATCTCGATAGCCAGGCAGCATTTCAATATTCAGTGCCTTCAGCTGGCTTGTGTTGAGTGCCCTGCATCACAGAAAACACGTCTGGAAATTAACAAGTCAAAGGTCCCCACCACAAAGGCCAGAGAAAGAGAGAGTTAGTTCTGCAAACACCCCTCCCCCACACAGACAAAGACCCAGAGGCTTCCCTTTATTCCTTACAAGTTCCTCCGGGCTAATGTGTCACACTAGTATTATGAGGTCTGGGAAGACAAGAGGGTATCATATTTTTGTGTATCCCTCATAGTGCCCAACATAGTTCTAAGCATCATCAGTTTTTTGACAATGTTTAATAAGCACACTCCTATGGAAATTAGCTAAAGTATTGCAATAATCCAAGGAGTGTTTGATCCAGACGCGCAGCTGAATCTGTTAACACAGTGAGCTTTGTGAAGTTCACAGCTGCCCTAATCTTAACCTGTTCCCCCCAGCCCTACAAAAGCCTTGAAAACCAGTAGCCTCACAACTATGACAGCTGCAAACCCCACCAACCCAGCACCACTGGCAGGGACAAAATAGACTGAGACTCCCCTAAAGACCTGCCCCCAGAAAATAATCTTTATTCAACCTGTCTAGTAGCTCCTTGAAAAGCTACATTCTCAGAGCTTGTCTTGATTTGACCTGACTCAGAGTTCATTTTCTGTGAACAGTACTATCTACAGGGCATTTGTCAAAACCCATGAGCAACAACTGTTTAACATTACATTTGTTTAAGCAGGATTATCAGTTGATGCTAACAAGAAGCCAACCAAAAGACTTAAGAGGAAAAACTGAGGAATAAGAGGTCCATAGGGAGTTTGATTTGCTCCAAAATATCCATGAGAATCTAGAAGACCCCAGGCATATTCAGGGCTGTCCACATGCCCAGGAAAAACTTGAAAAGTCCCTAGTCTCTCACCTCTGGCTGAACTTAAGGATCTGGAAAAAAATGTAGTGATGGCAAATGAATAAAACACTGCAATGAAGGAAGAATTTGGCATAGTGAGTTTTAAAAATTAATACAACCATGTGGTGTCTACAAGAGGCAGCCTTTAGATTAAAAGACAAAAATAGGCTGAAAGTGAAAGAATAGAAAAAGATATACCATGTAATCAGCAATGACAAGAGAGCTGGCAGAGCTATGCTAATATTGGACAAAATAAATCTCAGACAAAATTCATGCTAGAACCAAGGAAGGACATCTTTTAATGACAGAAAGGTCAATCCTGGCTGGGCACGGTGGCTCATGCCTGTAATCCCACCACTTTTAGAGGCTGAGGAGGGCGGATCACAAGGTCAGGAGATCGAGACCATCCTGGCTAACACGGTGAAACCCTGTCTCTACTAAAAATACAAAAAATTAGCCAGGCGTGGTGGTAGGCACCTGTAGTCCCAGCTACTTGGGAGGCTGAGGCAGGAGAATGGTGTGAATCTGGGAGATGGACTTTGCAATGAACCAAGATCACTCCATTGCACTCCAGCCTGGGTGACAGGGCGAGACTCCAGACTCCATATCAAAAAAAAAAAAAAAAAAAAAAAAAAAAAAAAAAAAGGTCAATCCATCAGGAAGACATAACAATTATAAATACATATGCACCTAACAGAACCTCAGAACCATGAAACTGGAAGAAGAGAAAGGAGAAATAGATGACTTAACAATAATAGGGGAAGACATCAATCTCCCACTTGCAATAACAGAATTAGGCAGGAGGAAGACAAGGAAACAGAAAACTTGAATAATATCTTAAAACAATCAGACCTAGTAGACATCTATAGAACACTACACCCAACAATAGCCAAATACACACTTTCAAGTGTGCATGGGACATTCTCTAAGAAATACCATTTTTTAGACCATAAAGACCATACAGGTCATAAATTAAGTGTCAGTATACTTAAAAGGATTGAAATCACACAACGTATGTTCTCCAACCTCAATGGTATGAAATTAAAAATGAGTAACAAAAGGAAACTTGGGAAATTCAGAAATGTGAAATTAAATGATACACTCCAAACCAATGGGTCAAAGAAGAAATCACAAGGGAAATTAGAAAATGTTTTGAGATAAATGAAAACACAGCATACCAAAACTTACGGGATACACCTAACATAGTACTCGGAGATATAGTTACAACTGCCAATGTCTACAGTAAAATAGAATATCTCAAATAAATAATCCTCCCATCCACCTTAAGAAACTAGATAAAGAGAAAAACCCAAAGCAAGCAGGAGGAAGAAAATAATGAAGGCTACAGTAGAAATAAATGAACTAGAGAATAGAAAAACAATAGAGAAAATCAACAAAACCAAAAGTCAGTCCTCTGAAAAGATCAACAAAAGTTGATCTTGAGGTCAGGAGATCAGGAGATCGAGACCATCCTGGCTAACCCCGTCTCTACTAAAAACACAAAAAATTAGCCAGGCATGGTGGCAGGTGCCTGTAGTCCCAGCTACTCAGGAGGCTGAGGCAGGAGAATGGCATGAACCCAGGAGGTGGAGGTTGCAGTAAGCTGAGATGGTGCCACTGCACTCCAGCCTGGGTGACAGAGCAAGACTCTGTCTCAAAAAAAAAAAAAAAAGAAAAAAGAAAAAAGAGTAAACTTATACTATTAAAGTCAAGAATGAAAGAGGGGTTACCCCTACCGACCTTATGAAAGTAAAAAAGATTATATGATAATACTATGAACAATTGTATGGCAAAAAATTAGATAACCTAGATGAAATGGACAAATTAATAGAAAGGTACAAACTACCAAAGTTGACTCAAGAAGAAACAGAAAGTATAAATATACCTATAACAAGTAAAGAAGTTTAATTAGTAATAAAAAAAATTTTCCACAAAGAAAAGCCTAGAACCAGATGGCTTCACTAGGGGTTTCTGCCAAATGTTTAAAAATTGTTGACACGAATCCTTCACAAACTTCCAAAAAAAAAAAAAAAAAAAAAGAGGAGGAGGGAACACATCCTAGCTGATTTTATGAAGCCAATATTATTTTGATACAAAACCAAAAACATCATAAGAAAACTGCAGACCAATTTCAGTTATTAAGATAGATGTGGAAATCTTCAAGCAAATACTAGCAACAGAATCCAGCAATTTACAAAAGCAATTACACAGCATGACCAAATGGGTCCCAGGATCATCCCAAGGTTGCAAGTTTAGTTTAACATGTGAAAACCAATCAAAGTAACATACCATATTAACAGGCAAAAGTCACATGTTCATCTTAATAGACACAGACAAACCATTTGACAAAATCCAACACCCTTCTATAATAAAAATACTAAACAAAATAGGACTAAAAGGGACCTTCCTCAACCCAGTAAAGGCCATCTGTGAAAAATCCACAGTTAACATCATACTTAGCAGTGACAGACTGAATGCCTTCCCTCTAAGATCAGGAACAAATCAAGAAACTCTCGTCTCACCAGTTCTTTCAACCTTGTACTTGATGATCTAGCAAAAACAGTTAGACATGAAGAAGAAATAAATGGTATCCAGGTTTGAAAGGAACATATAACACTATCTCTACTTGCATTTTACATGGTCTTATATGTAGAAGATCCTAAGGAATATACACACACAAAGGAAAAAGTACTATTAGAACAGATAAAAGAGTTCAGTAAGGTTGCAGGATACAGGACCAATATACAAAGATCAATTGTATTCCTATTCATTTAGCAATGAACAATCTGAAAACAGAACTAAGGAAACAGTTCCATGTACCATAGCACCAAAAGAGTAAAATACTTGGGAGTATATTTAACAAAATAAATGCAAGATTTGTATACTGAAAATGACAAAACATCATTCAAAGAACTAAAGAAGATCTAAATAGTAAAAAGACACTCCATGATCATGAATCAGAAGACTTCATATTGTTAACATGGAAATATTCTCCCAGTTGATGTACAGACTCAATGCAATTCCTATCAAAACCCCAGCTGCTGTTTTCTCTTTTTGTGGAACTTGACAAGCTAATTCTAAAATTCACATGGAAATGTAAGGGACCCAGAATAGTTAAGACAAACTTGAAAAAGAATAACAAAATTGAAAGACTCGTACTTCTTACATATAAAGCTACAGTCATCAAGACAGTAGAGTACTGGCATAAGGATAGACATATAGATCAATCAAATAAAATTGAGAGTTCAGAAATAAACCCTTACATTTACGGGCAACTGATTTTTTACAATGGTGCCAAGATAATTCTACGAGGGAAAGGAAGTCTTTTTAACAAATGGTGAAGGGACAAATGGATAACCATGTGCAAAAGAATGAATGTGGATCCCTGCCTCATGCCAGATACAGAAATTTACTCAACACAGATCAAAGACCTAAATGTAATAGATAAAACCGTAGAACTCTCAGAAGAAAACTTCATGAAGTAAATCTTCATAGCTTTGAAATTGACAATGGATTCTTAGGTATAACACCAAAATTACTAGCAACAAGAACAAAAAATAAACTGGATTTCATCAAAATGAAAAACTCTTTTGCTTCAATGTACATCATCATGAAAGTGTGACAATCTATAATGCATAAAGTTAAAGAAAATATTTGACAATTACATATCTGATAAAGGACTTGCATCCAGGTTATATAAAGAACTGTCACTACTCAACCAGTTTCCCTGGTCCACGTGGTCTATGAATGGGATTGGGGCTCTTGGAGGTATTTGAAGCAGTGGTTCCTAAACTCTACTGCACCCAAAAATAGGGCTGACGGATTTAGGAAGTGAAAAACACAAGACATTCAGTCAAATTTAAGTCTTAGATAAATAATGAATAATTTTTTAGTATAACCAAGCCCCATGTGATGTCTGGGACAAATTTAACTGGCTATCCAGTATTTTATGTGGCAATCCTACCCAAGAATCACCTTGAGGCTTCTTAAATGCAGATCCTGGATCTAGCCTCAGAGAGCATAATTCAGCAGGTCTGAGATGGGACTGGGGAGCTGCCCCCTTAACCATCCCTGGGGACTCTGATGTGAGTGTCCAGGTCACACTTTGAGAAACACTGATGAGATTCTCTAAGGGAGTCATAAGAACTTCAACAGCTGCTAGCCATACTCCTCAGCTGGGGTTATGCAAATAGAAAACAAAGCTACTGATATTCTAAACCAACATATAACACGGAAAGGCACATTTTATAAAAATCTATGCTTAGAAATAGTTTAGGGTGTCAAATAAAAGGGCAAAGCCAAACAAGATAAAACACAAAGAAGGGATCTAACTAGGTTCCCTGTGTTCCTTTCCTGCCATATTTCCAGGAAAAGTGGCCACTATGATCGGTCCAGGCAGATTGTAGCAGGCATCTCATGCAACAGGAAATGTAGACCTTTATGCATTTTTCCATCCATTTTCTTCCAGTTGCCCAAGTTTTAGCACTTTATGCTCTAATTCAGCTCTGAACACAATTCTGAACACATTCCTTCTGTTACACTACAGAAAGCTGAAAACCACAACTGTTGCAAGAACCCCCAGAGACGGGACAGTCACATCCAATGTGAGCCTTCAGTGTAATGAAGACCAAAGACCACTGGCTGGTGAGGGAATTTCAGGCCTGCTCTACAGGATGAAATTAACTTAAATGCTACTGTAGGTGGCCGTTTTAAAAACATGACTATCCTCTAATGACCGAAGAGAATTATAGCCCCACCCGGGACTAACTCTCTGTCAGAGAAGGCACATCCCCACTCCAATCACATCTGCAATGGGAGAAGAAACCCAACTCACTTTCCATCCACAGCTTCGACAATCTTGACCTCAATCTCCTGCTCATACAGTGTGCGCAGCATCCGGTCCCGCCTGTCCTTTCTGCGTTTGAGGTTTATCATGAAAATCTAATACAAGAAGAAAAAGGGAAAAGACACATAAATTACTCAAGTCTTCTTTTGGGCTATTTGAAAAGTTTAGTAAATGTTTTAGATAGAAGAAGGAGTGGAAAGGATAGGAAGAACTGTGGTGAAAATTCATTTCTATCTCATATCAGTGTTTAAGGTAAATGATATTAATTCAAATTGAATTATTTTCAAAACTCAACTCTTTGTAGTGACTTAACTCTCTTTGTTTCTCTGATGTTCATTGATAAATATGTTCTCCCTTCTCTTGAAATAGGAAACTTTAAAAAACTCTTTAAGAAGTCAAAGGACAACATGATCCTATGTTTAGAAAAACCTAAAGACTCCACCAAAAAACCATTAGGATTGATAAACAACTTCAGTAAAGTTGCAAGATACAAAGTCAACACAGAAAAATCATTAGCATTTATATATGCTAACAACAAACAATCTGAAAAAGAAATAGAAAAAGCAATCCCATTTACAATAGCTGCAAAAAATTTAATAATACTTAGGAATAAATTTAACCAAAGAAGGTAAAGATCTTTATAATGAAAACTATAAAACACTGATGAAAGAAATGGAAGGACACTAAAAATAGAAAGATATCCCATGTTCATGGATTGGAATAATTAACATTGCTAAAATGTCCATACTATCAAAAGTGATAAACAGATTCAATGCAATCCCTACCAAAATATAAATGACATTTTTCATAGAAACAGAAAAAAAAAGTCTTACAATTTTCATGGAACCACAAAAGACCCTGAATAGCCAAAACTGTCATGAGCAAAAAGAACAAGGCTCAAGGGAGCACACTACCTGCCTTCAAAATATGCTACAAAGTTATAGTAACCAAAACAGCATGGTACTGGCATAAGAACAGACAACACATAGACCAATGGAACCGAATAGAGAACCAGAAATAAGTGCACACATCCACAGTCAACTCATTTTCGACAAGGACAACAAGAGTTACAGATAATGAGGATGTCCTCACTATTCCCAGATTTAATGAACCATAGAAGTATCTAAAACTTTGTGAATGCCATTACAGGGAAATCAATGTTTTAATAAGGTCCTTTTGCTATAAGCAGTAAGAAACTCATTTTAAATGTTAAACTAGTGACTTTAACTGTCAGTGAGAAATGATGATGACACGTAGCATGGCAAAGCAGAAACCTATAGAAACAAGTCAGGTGGTGTTGACTTCATCCTGACTAACCATTTGGATGACTTTGAAGAAGACATTAATGTTTCTGGGTCCAGTTCTATAAAAATAGGGGGGTGAACAAACTCATCTTTCAAATTCAGTACAGATTAAAATGTCTAAGATAGGTGATTTATAATAAAGTGGCTTTCTGCTATAGCCGGAATAAAGGAGAAACAGTGCCTTAGAACCAGTCTGGAGTTCAGATTGTACTGTGTCAAGGTTTGGTTCACATGGTCATTCTGAATGCAGTCACAAATATATGTTACACTGGAATTAAAAGCTACACTAACTAAAATTTCAACCCTTCCTTGCAAAATATTCTCATTTCTATCCGTTTATAGATCCCTGGGCATAGAAACTGATGTAGGAGCAAGACGTTCCCTTTGAAGAAACTGTCCACTTGATCTGGGGCCAAGTAGATTAAGTGCATCCTAATTTTACTACCTTCCTTGTTTACCTAACTGGGTAATTATTTTGTAAAAAACATAATTTTCTGTGGTGACTGTATTTGTCTTATTACTTGGGACTTTGTAACTTAATGGGTTGTGTTCTTTTAGTCAGAATCATACTGTGATGGGTCATGCCTCATTCCCTAATTTTCCAGATATAGAAAGGAAAGGGCATTTTCTCAGGTATAAACATGAAGCCACCCGAGGTCACTCTAGGAGAACAAAAACAAAACAGAACAAAAAATCAACAGAAATAAATCCAAAAAGGTCCCCCAAACCAGAGACCTCCAGTCTGGGAAGACTTTTAGTAAATAACAATCCAGTTCCAGTCCCTGCCAGGACAAGTGCAATAAAACTGTAGCCACGAAGTAAAAACACAGACGGCTCGCTCATATTTAGTGAACAGTAAACAGAGAAAAGAGTCTCACAGCCAAATGCAGCCCAGACACCACCAATGAGGTCACAGAGTCCGAGGAGGAATGAAAAGTCCCTGAAAAGCCCTTTTTCTACCATGCTATCTCTGTTCCATACATAGAGGTGACTAACCCCAGACTCAGGGAAGTAGAGTCTCCAAGCCTGTGCCACTTCACAGACTTGGCCTTCTCCTGAAGGGCTCTAGGAGTGACCCAGTCTTTACACCGTGTCCTGCCCAAAGAAGACCAGAACTTGAAGATCCTGGTTTTGTCTTATTTTATTTGCTTTGGTTTTGTCCTCATAGGAATGTTTTTAGGAGGAAAAATGAATCTATGTAAGGACATGGGTCCTTTCACCTAGGGAACCAAGAGAGAGGTATGGGGAAGGAAAGCTACAGTAAGATGTGGAAGCTGGTCCACTGTGGGTGTGGGACAACCTTCTCTGTAGCTCTGATCATTTTTGAAAACTATTTGCAAATGAGTCTTATTCCTCTCTACTACATGTGGCTCGTCTCTTCTCATTCTGCCCTCTGTGGAAACAGCATAGTAGCTGTTAACTCTTCCCCATTTAATATTCATGAAATACCCTTTCCCCATTCCTGAAGTATAGCTCCAAATCAGTTTTATGGAAGAAATCTCAACTCCCAGTTCTAGCGTCAAATCCCTTTGAGAAGACTGTACACTGGGGACTTGTATGTATATGTTACCATGTGATAAACAAGGCATTTTCCTTCGATTAAGCAGTGGCAATGAGCACCAAGCTCAAAGCCTGATCTGTTACATATCCAGAGTCCATGGAAGAGTTCTCAGTTTGTGGACTCCTGATGCACTGCCCTAGCTTCTAGACCACAAAGCTCCTTCTGAATACTGTTCAGCAGCTACCGGAGAGACCCATGAGAGAGACGGTGACGTGGAGTCACAATCCCTGCCAAGTATCTGTTATGCATATCACCATGAGGGGTACCTCTTAATATTTCTGCTTCATTCTTTATACAACTAAAACTTAATAACAAATACTACCCTTAGAATATTATTAGGAAGTTCTTGCCTGCTGAAAGGCAGAATTTTAGAACAAATATGTTTTTTTTTTTCTTTCTTTGTCCTCTCAACCCTGCTCTCCAACCTTTTTCCATGGAAGAATAGTAGAAAGAAAAGAAAGCACAGAAAGTCCCAGAATAGTTTCCACTTGCTCAGATGTGGCAGAATAAAGCTAAAGTCCTCCATATCTAAAACATGTATCCTCTCTAACTTACTCTTGAACTTTGATAAAAAGGTTGATTAAAAATATCACAATATTTGCTCCTAGAAAATATCAAATTCACTTTCATTACTAAATGGTAACTTCCTTCTGAGTAAATGATTAACTACCTTTTATCATGATCCTCCCTTTTTTAAGATAAGGAAACTAAGGAACAACAAAAACCAAGTAGTTTTCCCAAGACCTCAGAGCCATTTCAGCAGCCAAGCCAATCTTGCTGGCTCTCAGATGCAAGCTCAGGCTTGTGTACCAAAATGAACACATAAGCCTGCACACGCATGCACGTGCACACACATATAGACACCTTTCCTACCTCATCAAATCCCATCTTGTCTGGATATTTAGGGACAAGTGAGACATACTTGGAGGGTTCCATTGGAGGACGGTCAACTGGAAGACACAAGAAACATGCAGAGTGCTTTGTTAATGAAAGGGTCAGAAATCAGAATTCCATCCGCATGCCTGATCTCTAGGGCTGGAATACAAGTTGGAAATACAGGGCAGGGGACAATGGTAGCAGTTCTCCAGGACTGAGTAGCCACACAGGAACCCTGATGGTCAGGGCACTGGTTTCAAGAGCATTTGTTTATATGGAAATTGCAACATTTGCTCCACTTCCCTTAAGACTTATTTCAAGAATATTTGGGAGGCAGTTTAGGATAATGGTGAAGAGGAAGGGCTCCAGAGGATCTGGGTCCAAATCTTGGTTTGTGAAGGAGTAGGAGAGGTAGGGGACCTCTTTAAGCTCATTTCTTTGGTATGAAATTGGGATAATAGAAGTGTATCTGTGTTATAAAATTTAAATGAGACCTGCTGCAAAACACTCATCACTTTAACATGGTAAATGCCCAACAACTCTTAGCTATTGAAAAAGCTCAGAAATAGGCTTGAATTTTTACTGAAAAATACTTTTTTCTCTACATTTAAAATTGTCAAAGTGTGGGACTATTTTTATCCCACCTGGGCAGGTTTAGCTGTGGGTGCGCAAAAGGTCCTTTGCTTTAACAGGATCTAACCACGGAGAGCTGGCCCTCATCTAATGGGAAGATTCCAGCTGGGAGCGACACTACTTCTCCAATAATGACAGTTTTATTTATTTGATACTCTAAAAAAGCTTCCTTTGCAAACTGGGTATTTTAAAGTTTGGAAGTAATATTGGTTAAGAAACCTGAAAAGGCCTTGAAGAATGTTTGGTATTATACAAATTCAAAGTCCTCATTTGATTTTCCTTGAAGGGATAATACGAAGAAAATTTAAAATGAGAGCTGATAACTGGGTTGTTGAAAGAACTATGGGTGATAGCCATGACTACTGTAACGTATCTGTTCCCCTCTATTCCAGGCACAGGAGAGGAATACACTCTCTTGCCCTTGAAGTTACTCAGGGCTATATGACTTTCTGGGGAAAGTTTACAGTATAATGCTGCTGCTCCACTCTCCAAGAGCTCCCCTGCCCCTGGTCCCACCACAGTGCTCGTAGCGGCATGTGTGGATATGGAGCAGCTGCGAATTGGAAGCAGCCTGGAACGTGGAGCATCAACACATGGAGGGCAGCTCCCAGGAAAGACACCAGCTCTGCAGACTTGGATAGCAAGAAATAAGCCATTGTTGTATGATGCCAATCAGATTTTTATATTCCAGCATAACTTTGCCCATCCTGAGATACTGTCCGAAGGGTATGATCTGTTTAACTTCACTGAAATATTATAGAGAAATCCTGACATCCAATTTTACTTATTGGCGAATGATGTGAAATTCCAGAACATAGTGAGACAGAGTTCTTAGGCCAAACACAAGAGCTGGTCTTATTACTTCAAACTTGACACAATCATGTTTCTGTGCATATGCAGCGCAAGTGTTTGTCTTCCTAACAGCAGCCCAGAATATTCTGGTCCTTTCTGCTCCATTCCACTCCTTATAAGTTTCTTTTAAAATCAACAGGGAGGGTCCACCATGTACAGGGTTAGGTTTTTAAGAGAAAGAAGCTTAATGTACCAGCTTCCTCCTGTTCATGACATTGTCTGAGGAGCTGTCTCTCTCTCTCTCCTGGGGCCTGAGACTTGGGAGGACATTACATTTTGAGTTACCCATTCTAGGCTGCTGGTCTCCTTTGGACTCACATGGCCTGTGTGGCTTTAACATTTCAGCCAAAGAGACTACTTTTAGCAACTTTGTTTCCATCAAACACAGGCAGTCATTGCATTCACAGGACAAGTGTTGCAAAAAAAGCCACAAGTGGTTGGCTCCCGAAAGTCATCACTGAGCAAAAATATCAGAGAAGTGTGCTTGGGTTTTGCCACTGAAGGCAGCAGTAAGCCATAGAGGAAAACAGGAAGTGATACAGTGAGTCACCTAAGAAACTTAGTCTGTGGGGAGAAGGATGTATCTTTGCTGACAACAGACTTGAAGGTTAGGTATATCCTGGCTTCTGTTTGTAGTCATTTCTGACTCCATCATTCATAATTCATCTGATCTCCCATTAAATCCCTTCCTGGAAATAATCCTTCCCTGTACTGCCACTTGGGACAACGGGCTTCATTGCTTTCGGGGAAGTTTCAAGATCTAGTGTGAATAATTACAGCCATTGTTACAGGGATCTTATCACTCACAGAACTCTGGGTTCTGTGAGTGATATATATGTCACATATATACTTGACATATCTAATCACAAATATTTAATGTTCACATGTACCATGGGATATGTACGAGTGTCTCAATTTTTATAGACAAGGTAACAAACGTTAAATAACGTGCCCAAGATCACAGAGCTGATAGAGCTGGTATTTGAACCTAGGTCTGACTCCTGCACTGGAGCTCTTAATTCCCATTCCACATCATCCCCAGAGCTAGTCCTTGGTGGCCACTGGTATTAGCCAACAAGGCAACTGGGCTTGGTCTACAGTAGCTCATTTAAGCCCAGTCATGTCTGGAAAAGTACCTGATAGATTGTACTTTGGATCAAATTCTACCGCTTCTTCTCTATAATTTCTCCTAAACTTCTTCCATTGTTGTAGCCTAGCTTGGGTGCTTACCCACTGTGTCTGGGCTGTTTTTGATTTTTTTCAAACACTAACATGCTCTCAGTCTTTCTTATTCTAATTAATCATGCTCACTGTTGTCAAAATAATCTTCCGCTGCACAGCTCTGCTCTCAACCATAACAGTCACACTCAACACTACATTTAAGGGTTTAACAGGTTGCTAGGTGTTTTCATAGTCACCATGTAATTTTATCTTCAATTTTTTTTGTGTTTTTTTTTTTTTTAACAAATAAACTGAGACCAAGCCAGATGTAGACTTGTCCAAGGTCAAATACTGAGTTACTGGCAGAGCTGGAACTCAGTTTTAGACCTGACTTCAAATCCAATTATCTTAGTAATTTTTGCATGAGGTACTGTTGTCTCAAAATGTCAATACTGAGAGCAGGTACCTGAGCCTTCCTATCACCTTATGCTGTAATTTGCAAGAGTAATCTCCTCATGCTTTATAAACCATTTAAATCTAACATCTTTACAAGATCTGGCCTCCTGTCATTCATCTCCCAAAGGCAGCACATCCCCAAATTCTCTGTGCAACTTCTAATGTACTAAATGAGTTATCACATGAAAAGAGATGGGTACAGTGCTTTTAATAAGTGTCAGTCATTGTCGTCATAACCCTTCCCTCACCTCACTCAAATTCTTCGACTCTGATTTCTAAAACTCCAGTCTGCAATTCAGAAACTTCCTGACCATCCCCTTCACAAGATTTTCAATTCTCATCCACTGATGCCTGAAAAACCCTAATCCTGGTTAAACTCGTTGCCCACTTACTCAGCACCAAGAGGACTACTGTTAGAAACACACACTATTGTGCTGACTGAGTCACTTCAGAGCTACAATCACAGATGTCAAATTGGCACTTGACACTACCAAATGATGTAAATGTCCTTTCATAGTAAATTTATTTTCCCACTCTTTGAGAGATTGTATCTTATGCCTTCTCTCTCCTGAAATCTCCAAAATCTCTGTCTAGCTCATGACTGGCCTATATACTTCAGAAAGAAAATATTCAAAATCAAATTAGATCTACCTTTTCAAACCACCTCAAGTCCACAAACCAAACTGCATGTGTATCGATACATTCTGCCATCCTATCTGCCACAGTAGATGAAATGTCTATCTAGTATAGCCTCTCCAATATTGTCCTGGGCTGCAACCAAGGATAAAAACCCTCTTGTTTTCACCTTACAATTACCTTCTCTTCTACATCATCAAGATCTCCTTATATATTGGATCCTTGTGATTAGCATACAAACATACTGTTATATTTCTATTTTTTTTAAAAAAACAGTGCAAACAGACAAACCCAACCCAACCAGAAAAATATTTCCCTTGACCTCCCACCTCCAACAGCCTCCATCTGATTTCTCCATTCCCCATCCCATCAAGATTCAGCTTTCTCATCTCCCCATTGGCTTCTCTTCAGTCCACTTGAATGGATTTGTGTCCTCATCATTGCACTGAAGTGACCCTTATCAAGGTCATCACAGACCTCTGTCTTGACAGAACCAATGACCAATTCTTTATCCTCATTTTCCTTGGCTTCTCAGCAGCATCTTGGCTCTGTCTTGAAACACTTCTCAATTTTTCCTCCCAGCTCTCTGGCTGTTTGTCTTCCCCAGGGATCTGTCCTCTTCTCGTCCTGTGTTCTTTTACTGCATGAGTTCACACTGTTCCATGGCTTCAAATATCCTTCCGATGCTGATGATTCTCAAATGTCTGTCTCTAGCTGGAGTTTCTTCCCTGAACTCCAGACTCATATATCCAACTATCTTCTGGCTTTTCTATTTAGATGCCTAATAAATATCTTAAGCTTACGTGACCAAAACTACCTCCCCACCCCTGAGTCTTCTTCTATAAAGTCTTTCCCATCTCAGTAAATGGCATATCAGGCTAAAATCCTGGACTCATTCTTGATTCCTTTCTTTCCGTCATGGACTACATTCAGGTCTCTGTATGTCCTATTGGCTCCACCACCAAAATATATCCTCAATTTGTCTGTTTCTCATCACCTCCTTGCTATCGTTCACATCCCAATCACCATCATGTCTCACCAGAGTGTACTGGTCCCCTACACTCTGGTATCCTCACCACAGCCCAAATGATCCTTCTAAATGCACAAGTCACATCAGGCCAACCCCCCGTCTTCCAGGGATTCCCATTACTCTTGGAGTAAAATCTAAATTCCTTACCATGGCCAGAATGTTCGGTGGGATCTGGACATTTCTTCTCCCATTACTCCATCTCCCTTGACCCAACTCATTCTTTATACCCCAATCACGCTGGCCTTTTGTCCCTGGAACACCCCCAAGCTTTTCCTGTCTAACAGTCTTCACATGTGCTATTCTTTGTACTTGGGACATTCTTCACCCAAATATTCATGTGGCTGCTTCCCGGATATTTTGTCTGTTGTCTAACTCTCTGTGTTAGAATATAAGCTCCCTGATGGCAGGGTTTCTGCCTGTTTTGTTCACTGCTATATGCCAGCATCTTGAACAATCTGCAGGGTACAGTATGTGTTGAATAAATCCTTACAGCCTGATTATCTCTTCTAACACCTTCACTGGTTCCTTAAGATGGCCATTCTTCTTGATCTGAGCATTCAAGGACCACAACAATGAAGCCACCCCACCCTCTCAAACTTTATTTCTGCCTACTGTTTTAAGTCAGCTCTCCTTCAGAGTGAGAATACTTTGTCGTTTCTTGGTCTGTTTCCTCTGCCTGTAGAGTCCTTACCATACCACTCCTTTTGTTTAAATTTTACACTTCTACCCAAGCTTAGCTTAAGAACCATTAGGACTTGAGGCTCTCCTGGATCACACAGGCCATAGCAATCTCTCTCTATCCCAAATTCTTATTTCTTTGATATTTTCTCCTTTCTCAAAATGCTACACTGCATTGTGAGTGTTTTTTTTTTTAAACGTCTGTCTGTTTCTCCTATTAAATCATAAGTACCTGAAAACAGAGAATTGATCATAAAATGTTTTGAATCCCCAGTACCTTCATAGAAGACACATACATTACAGGCATTCTATGTTTGCTCATGAATAAAATGCATGTATTAATGCAAGCTTGTTTAACCGTGGCCTGCCGGCCACATGTGGCCCAGGATTGCTCTGAATGTGACCCAATACAAATTTGCAAACTTTCTTAAAACACTCTGTGATTCTTTTTGTGATTTTTTTTTTTTTTTTTTTTTTTTTTTTTTTTTTAGCTCATCAGCTATTGTTGTGTTAGTATATTTTATGTGTGGCCCAAGACAATCTTTCTTCTTCCAGTGTGGTTCAGGGAAGTCAAAATATTGGACACCCCATTCCTATTCTTCAATCAGTGCAGTCTAACAATACTATTAGCAGCCATTTATTTGCTGCTCATTGGGTTCCAGGCACTATGCAAAGTAGTTTTAACAACTAGTTAATCTTTTACTAGAGAAGGATACTTGACTGACAGGATTTTGTCATTGCCAACTTTTTATTAATCTTACATGGACCTCTAGGCCATATTTCTGCATTATACCCTTCAAAATTTGATTTTTCCAACATTTTCTTATTCCGATTATGCTCTATATTTTTAAAGTTCAGAAAAGGAGGTAAGTATAAGAATAAAATAAAATGTGATATGTAAAGTGCTTAGCACTAGAGGTGGCATGCGTTGGAAGGTCAATGATGAAAGTTATAATTTACAGGTTCTTCTCAAATGAACTCTACCTGGCTAGCATGGTAGTGTGCATATTTGTAATTTGCAATCATTAAAATCTTTATTGATGACATGTGTATTTCTATGTACTGAGAACTTACACTCTCAGCCCTGTGGAAGAAAACAAGAGAACATAAGGTCTGGCTGGCCGCTCTCTGAGCTCAGAGAGACTCTCCCTACTTGGGAGTCAAGACCAAGAGCCATGAAACAGGGATAATAAGGGACAGCACTTTATCGAGAGCTAAAAGGAGTCATAATAATAGCAGCACCTCATGATTTTATAGAGTTGATATATTCTTTTGTTTGCTCCTCTCAACATTGCAAAATCACTCTATAGATGAAGAAACGAAAGTCCTGAAATCTGATTCTCTCTTCATACGTGACAGTGTCTAAGTTCAAGCCCATTATTCTGGCTTTGGTTTCAGTGCTCTTGTCAATACAGTTTTCATTCATTCATTTGTTTATTTGTTCATGCATTCAGCAGATATTTTTTCGTAACAACTACATGCCATGCACTGTGCTAAGTGCTTGGGATTCAAAGCAATAAGATGCCATCCATATCCTTTAGGGCCTAGAACATAGGGAAAGTGGCAGAAAAAGTATGTATTAAAGAAATTCACAAAGGAGATTACTGAGGGCTGGTTCAAGAAATACTGTCACAGTGAACCAGCTTCTTATTCCATCATTTTATCATCAGTCATTCAGTCATATAACAAATATTTACTAGGCATCTACCAGGTGACAGACAATGTGCTAGGTCCTGAGACTAACATGATGAAAAAGGAATTTATAGTGTAGTAGCAAGGGAGTGGGAAACAGATACTCATAGATAACTCAATGAATCTAAAAATAAACTCATGGTTTCTCTTTTCTTTTCTTTCTTTTTTTTTTTTTTGAGATGGAGTCTCACTCTGTCACTCAGGCTGGAGTGCAATGGTGCAATCTTGGCTCACTGCAACCTCCGCCTCCTGGGTTCAAGCAATTCTCCTGCCTCAACCTCCTGAGTAACTGGAACTACAGACATGCACCACCATGCCCGGCTTATTTTTGTATTTTTAGTAGAGACAGGTTTCACCATGTTGGCCAGGCTGATTTCGAACTCCTGACCTCAGGTGATCCACCTGCCTCGGCCTCCCAAAGTGCTGGGATTACAGGCATGAGCCACCACGCCGGCCATGGTCTCTTTTCAAACCTCTCCTTTATTCTACATGCCCTATTCCATTTAAAGTTCCTAAAATCATCCCCAGACACTGAAGACAGAACTTAGGAGTTTTCTCTATGCCTCCCTTTTGCTCATCCAACTACAATTAACTCTTGGCTGTGTCCTTTCAAGACTATGTCCTAAGCTTCTGTTCCTTCCTCTCCATTCCCACTGCTACTGCTCTAGGTCAGGTCTTCACCACCTTTTGCCCAGTAGCCGTAAAATGTCCAAAGTGGTCTCTTCACCTCTGGTCTGAGACCAGCAGCCACTGCCCATGCATCCCATGCATGCTCCACCTACACTTTTCTAACCACTAGAGTGACCTTTCTAAATCCAAATTCAACCTGACATTTCTGTGCTAAAATCTTTTTGAGAGTGCCCATCCTTTCAGCTAAAGCCCAAATACCTTCTTATACATCAGAGCTTCTTGGCGGGGCTCCTGCCCACTTTCTAGCCTCAGTTCCTGCTGTTCCTCCCTAACGACCTCCACTGCCCACATATATACCTCCTATGCTCTACTGATGAATAATAGAAAATAGTCCCCACTTTGGGAAGCCATTTCAACATCTTCCCCTAGGTTAGGTGGATTGGTTACTTTCTCTTTTAGCTACCATTGTACATCACATATAATAAAAAGCATAGCTACTGATGACTGAGCACAGCAATTCATGCATCATGCCAGACCCAGAGGCAATAACAATAGTGTTTAAGGACATGAACTTTGGAGATAGCAAGATGGGTTCAAATCCCAATCTGTCATTTGTTTAGCAGAATGCTCTAGGGCAAGTTACTTAAGGCAACATCTCATTATTTTTAATCTTTAATATGGGCATAATAAAACCCCTTCATTGAGTTGTTGCAAGGATTAATGAAACAATGTACAAAAAGTGCTTAGCACTTTATGATGTAACAGTGGTATCTGTTACATCACGAGCTATTGTTAAGTTGAAATCATAATTACTGTGGCTGTATTAGACATTTTACATATATCATGATGAATCTGCCCAAAAACCCTGAAAGTTTTCATTATTTCCATTTTACAACTAAGGATATTATTTATTCAAAGTTATATAATTAGAAAGCAGCCAAGTTAGGGTTTAAGTCCACACCACAAAACACTGTTATAGCACTTATCAGATCCTTTGGAAAGTATTGACTTGTGTACCCAGCTCTCTTCCAGGATGGGAAGCTCCCAGAAGGCAAAGACCTTGTCATATTCATATTTCCCATAGGAAAAGTTTAGGAAACAATGAACAAATGAATAACTATGTATTCAGCCAGAGGAGACTGACGGCTGTGAGATTCCAATCCTGGAAGAGAAGGGAAGTGGCTGGTATGGTCACTGTGGCAATGGAATGACAGCCATCCCCCCCGCTCCTGGGTCACTCACTCATTGCTTCAATCTGCACATGGATCAGGTTCTCGATGTCTTCCTGCAGTGTCTGATGGGACTTCAGGGGGATGGGCAGGTAACCATAGTGCTCTCTGTTGCAGAGGTACATCTGGATGCCTGAGGATCCGAGAGAGGGACAAAGCCAACAATCAGAAAATACACTGCTGAGTGACAAGTGAGGAGAAGGAGCCTGAACTGTGTCTGATGCTGAGTTTGACATTGCAATTACATAAGTGGTTGTTTCAGGTATGTCTATAGACCTTAAAAATGCTCCTTTATTCAAAAAGTAAAACACAGCATTGGGGACTAATAAAAACACTGGGCTATTCTTCAACCCAGAGGAAATTGATTTTTTCTCTCTGAAGAAAAACCCAAACTCGTGGCCTGGAATGAACACAAAAGGCATGAAAGGATCAAAAGGGAGGCAAGGAATTCCCATTCCGGAGAGCAGAATGGAACACTGTAATCCACCTACAGGAAATAACGAGAAAATGAGGAATGAAATCCACATCTGATATGAAAGCAAACAGGAAAATTCTGTAACGCTGACAGATTATTAAAGCTAAATCTAGGCATACATAGAACAAAAAACGAAAAAAGCAAAGGAAATTTAAAATTCTCCAAGATTTTCCTTGGTTTTATTGCTTCCCTTAGCAGGCATGGATTTGGAGCCAACCAACAGATATGAAACTTCCAAAATCAGTTCATATAGAGACAAAAGAGTCTGCATTTCAGAATGTCCTTTTAAGAACCTGTAGTGTGACAATACCAGAAACATGCAATACCCTTCTCATATTCAAATTAGTCTTCATAGCCCCACCTGATAACTTGCACAGTTATAAGGCATCTGTGTTTAACCAGACAGCTAGAAATATAGGAATCAGGATGGTCTTATACAGATCATTGGTCAGCAATTGACACTCCTCATCAATGAAAAGACTGCTTAGTGAAAAGGATGAGTCCGCCATGTATCCAAGCCTCTGGTCCATGTATCCAAGCCTCTGATTTGTTAATTGTGATAATCATCACTGTCTTCTGGAGAGAGAATTTTCTGCATAGGGACTCCTCTATTTTGTGCAGATGAAATTTCCTCCGGTCGGCTACATCATCTGTCAAATCAGGTGAAGCTGTCTCATGGAATTAACAGAGAGGAAGGAGAAAATCAAATAACTTTTATTCCCTGCTTTTATGGAATCTGGCTTGAATCAAGGTTGGTCTACCAAGCACTGTCCCTTCTCTTGCCTTCACCGAGCAAACTCATTAGCTCTGCTATTTGCCCACATGAATGCTTCTGGGGAGCTTCAAAGTACACCTTCTTGTAAAGTCATGATGAATTCAGGAAGTGGAAGGAAAAAGATATTAAAGTTGCATCTCCACCCTAATTAGGCAAACCATTTTACCAATTAACTTTCTGAGGCTTCCATAAAAAAATGATATGATACATATCCAAACTATCCATCAAGTGTGAGGGTACAAGGAAGGCATTTTTAGACATGCAAGACCATAATATATTTACTTGCCATCATACTTTTTCAGAAAGTTACTGGATGATGTGGGAGAAGGATGAGGAGGAAAGGAAGGAAGAGGAGGAAGAGGAAGAAGAGGAGGACGATTAAAACCAGCAAGAAAGATTATAAACAACACGAACAGAAGAGTCAGTGTATAAGAGAAGAGAAATAAGTCTTAGGTCGATAGCTGCAGCACCACTCGGATTAGAATATATTAGAAGGCTCCAGGACAGACATCTTCACAAACATGCAAAAAAGGACATCTGACAAATCTGAACATTCTGAGAGGAGTTTGAGGTGATTAGTGATTAGTTTTGGATCATACTAGTAATAATAAAACTAAGCAAAAAAATGGTAATTATTAAAGGAATTGCCTCCAAAGAAAATTAATGGCAAAGGAAAACTAATCATAGCCTATAAATGACCAAGCTCGGAGTTAAGCTTGCATGATTACAACAAGAACACTGACCATCAATCTGTTTGAAATGACATTGGGAGAACAGGGTGTTGAGAAGAATGTGTTTGCATGCAGAGGGCAAAAGGCAGAAAGAGAGCTAACTCCTCACTGTCCACAGTGGAGAGTCAATATATAATGCCTATGGTGAAGCCAGAAAATCAAGAAGTAGCAATGTATGCATATTATTTAACATGGATGTAAATATTATACTAAAATGATCACTTAAAAGAGATAACAGTGGTTGCCTTCTGGAGGACAGAAATGATGCAGGGTGATGTGCAAGGGACTGTTCTTTTCTTAATAAACCATGGGGAACTATAAGAATACTTTCAACCATGTGCACGGGCAGTTTGATAAAAGAAAATGTATTAATAATTAGATAAAGTCTATGAAAGAGTCTGCACTCCCAGTGAAAGCTGCTTCTGGGGAAGACAATTTTTCTTTTGAAAAAGAAAAGTGAATTACACTACATTTTGAAGGACTTTGTTTTTCTTTTAAACATATAAAACATTTTCTTGTACACACATAGTAACTTAACATTGCAGATTGATAAAATTATCCCTATCTTTGGTGATGAAAAATCAGACTCAGGCTGTCACTTGTCCAAGGTCACATAGTAGGTCATTAGTGCCAAATCTTTGTCCCTAAAGAGCCAATGCCAAGTGCTTTCTACCCACCGGGTAATTGGAAACTCAGTTCCAAGACCATTAGTCACTAGGGGATTGCCATCCCTCCACATGGGGACAAATGTGACCACTACCAGTGGTGTCCAGGATCTGTCTGCCTATTGCCCATATCACTTGCCTCTTTTGACTCACATCAGACATTTGGAAGATGACTGACTGGCGCCGGGATGTTTCCTGTGGCCATAATACAGAAACCAGATCATGGGCCACAATGGGAAGTGAACTCTTGACCCTGGACTCATTACAGTCACAGAGACTCACCTGTGACCATATGTGCTCTCTTCTTGGGCTAGCTGGGTGGCCAAGCCCCGCTCACCAGCACACTTGGATTGCCCCTCACTCATCACCCACACAGCGCAATGGCTAGAGTCTGGGGTGAAAGATTTAGGACTGAGGTTTGTGGTTGGATGGTCCTGCCTGGGACATAGATGATACACAGCTAGGGAGCTTCAGAAGAGTGAGAACAAAAGAATACCAATTATATTTCATGAAGAAAGAGGGAAGGTGCTTTGCTTTAAAACTAAGGAAGAAGAGCCTAGAGACATGCTCCGGGCTGCACATGACTCCCAGGCTCATTCACGTTTCTCTGGAAAATACTTAGAGATAAGTACAATATTACCTTAAAATCCACAGTTGTCAAGAAATACCTTTCATTTCCCCAAAATGACTGAATCTTTCCTGCCTTGACTCCTGCCCTGTTCATGGTCTGAACTGCCAATCTGGCCCGTAGCTTTCACTGCTTCATGACTATTAGTTGTGTTTTCACACATAAAAATCTTAACTCCCAACTAACACAGTGCCAGGAACAGAAGGAAACACTTGGGAGTTCATCTCTCTCTTTCCTTTTCTATTTCTCCTCTTCCCAAATGAGTCACCAAACAACTGTGGGTGTCTACCTGCTTTCAGTGTTCTAAAAAAGCCTTTGCAAAATCTGACCAACAGCACACAAAGTCCTGGTGAACAGGCGAAGCACAGGCAGAGCTGAAAAATTCCTGCTTAACCTGAATCACTTTTTCCCACCCCAGTATCTAGGTATTGGTTTCATACAATGTATCAACATAATTTAGTGCATGGGGTCATAATAATGCTTTGTTCAGTGACTATAAAGGAGGACTCTGTTAGGCAGTGCCATTCGTGTAATTGTTAATGTCTCACTTTCTTGGAACATCTTAGCTTCAGCCTCTGAAGGAAAGAGATTGGCACTCAAGGACTCAGATGGCTCTGTCTTTGTTTCCTATCCTGGGGAAGTCAGAGCAAATCACAGACCAGATGAAAAAAGCAGGTTCCATTAACATTGACATAGGAATCTTTGCAAAAAACTTCCAATCATATGAAGATTGCTTTTGCCTAAACACAAGGGCTACAAAATGCCTGCACCTGGCCAAAGGGTCTAAATTGCTCTAGCAGCCAAGGGGGAAATCAGCCTGATCCATTACTACCAAATATTCTCATTCTCAGCAAATCTACAACTGATGAATGGGACACCTATGGCTTTAAGGAGAATCTGATGTGTGAACTGTAGCTTGAATTTGTATTAACATTCTCATCTGCCAGCCACTTTCTCAGCTGCCTGAAGATCTTTGCACCATGTTTTCCACCCTCAGTTATATGGCCACACTGAGTTTATTCACCATCTTCTTGGTTTATAACCTATTTGTGCTAGTAGTTAAGTGACACATTTCTGGCACATTAATAATGGGACCCAACTTCTGTCAGGAAAGTCTGAATTATCCTAATAAAGCTTTGCTCTGTTAGATGCCATGTGTCCTGCTGTTGAACTGCTCTTGTGAATTGTGTCCTCCTGAAGCAAGTGCAGGGTGAAATGAGAAAAATAACTTTCCTTCCTGTTGACTTGTCTTTCTCAAAAATCTACAGGCCTCACTAGAAATGCTTTCCCAGTGGTTCATAAAAGACTTCAGTCTCGCTTTGCCTCTCCTTCCACAGGGACTGAGGCCGAGACTGTTTGGTGCCTCTTTATCTGTTCTTTCCTTCTTCTGGAGTGTGAAAATTGCAGTGCATGCATGCAGAGAATAAAGATGACATTCTGAGCCTCCCTTACAGTGAGGTATTGTCCTGTGACTAAGCTCTGGCTAACGGGATTTGCATGGAAGTGCTGCATTCAACTTCTGGATTGCACCCTTCAAGGGACAGGGAGAGTTCTCCCTGCTGTTTCTGCCTTGCTGGCTGAAACGCATCCGTGGTGGTGAGACACCTGGGACTCCACAATTAAGGGCAGTACCTCGTGGAGAGTGAGAAGCCTGGGACTCTGAACACTTTGTGGAACAAAGCCACTATAGCAACTCAGACTTCTTCAAGAAGAAATAAACTTCCATTTTTAAAGTCTGGGATCTTTGCCAGTGTTGTTTTAGGCCTCTGTGACAGTTTCCTAATTAATAAATGGACTTCTGTGATAAACAATTGCAATGCAGTAGCACCATAGAGAACCAATCACCTTCCCATAACTCCCAACATCACCACCAGTCCCTCCAACCCAAAACAGAGTGGGTTCCTGGATAGAGGCCAGCCCTGGCTCTTGGTAATTGGTGCTCCCAGGGACAGCAACATAGAGGGTGCTGGTAAGGTTACTGCAGACAATTTATTGCCTCTCACTACCCGAAATATGAGGGTATTTTTAAAAATAAGATGCACAAAACAAAGGAGCTGGTCATTTTGCTGTGTCTCCATGGTGGTACTACAACCAAAGACAAACAGTACCTGCTTGCCTGCTGGAGAAGGCAAAGACAATGATGTCATCAAAGGTCCAGGTGTAGTCCTGGTGTGGGGGGTAGAAAGTCAGCTTGTCCGAGGCCTCCTTCCTGAGGTCAATTAGGAAGGTGGAGTGGACCATGGGGACGGGGAAGCAGCCTGACCTCTTCCATTCTCTAATCTGAACGTAGTCTGGGGTCCTCTTATAGAAGCCCTGTAAAAGAGCAAATAGGTGGGTTGTGTTTTCTGACCTGAAGTCTTCATCCTTCTCAGTCATTTGCTAGACTGATTCCTTTCAAGTCGTCACCAGCTAAATACAAGCTCCCAAACAAAGCCACCTTCATTCCTCTTATCATGGCCTATGAATTTCCAGGTGAGCACAGGAAATGCTATCTACATATAAAATAATACTAAAAGGGTCTTGATATAAGAAATCACTTTGATTTCAACATATCTCTTGATTTAATAATTTCATAAAAGTGTATTTTATGTTGACTTATGATGAAATATGAAGCATGAGTATTAAGAAGTGACAGAGCAGTTAAGAGCACAGGTTCCAGTGTCAGACTCCCTGAGTTCAAATCCCACCTCAGCTACTTATTGTCTGTGGGTATGGGGCAAGTGACTCAACCTTGCTGCACTTATTTCCTCATCTCCAAAACAGGGATGATGGCACTATCTACTCCACGGGGTTAGCTGTAAAATTTAAGTAAGGTAGAACCTGAATAGTGTTGAGTGTACTGCCCAGCACCAAGAATGTATCAACAAATATTGGCTCCTATTAAAATGACATTACACTATGGTTAATATTTGTAATTAAACATGCATTACTAAGATATACAAATGAGGGTCTTCTTTCAATGCAGTTACTTAGTCAATATACTGGTGAAGCTGCAGCTGCTCCACAGTTTTTGGGGATTCAACTTCTGAAACTTCCTTCTGCACAAGCACACGGGACAACCAGTTTCCTTATTCCAAAGCTCAAGTCATTTCCAGAAAAGATGAAGATATATCTCAACAAAACATGCTTACGAAACATACTTGTGGAAGCTTTGCCAGGCATTTTGGAAAACGTTCTAGGTGATGGCAGCTCACTGGGATGAGTGTGAAGTTTTGCAAGGCCAGCACTCTGAAGGGCACGGCACTCTGGATGCAGAAGTTCTTATGTGGTCATTAATCAGTTGCATCACTTTATGGTCACATTTCCTGTTGTCATTCAGCATCCACACATAAGGCGCTACAGCCTCATCTACTTCTCTGACATTCCCTTCAAGTTCTAGAAGAGTGTCCTAGCTTAGCTAACCCTAATGCTGACCCCATGATAAGGGAGGAGGATCACAAATGAGGACTTAGAAGATGTGAGTCTCAGAGTCATCTTAATCACCTTCTAGCTGTTTGATCTTAGCCCATGGCTACCCTCTTTGAGCCTGAGCTTTTTATCCTGAAAAACGGGATAATAGCTGCTCTGTCAATCTCAAAGAGCTGCAGAATGAATCACATGTGATAAGGTCTATGAACCTATTTTGGAAACTGCAATTCATTATATGAAGTATTATTATTACTATAATTTTTTATTAGCCTTTAACTTAAGGATCATTTAACATCCTTTATGGTTTCTCCTAATACTTCAGTTTATGAGCAGTCTTCCAAGGGATAAAGGGAACTTGGGTTTTTAAAAAGGCTGTCTAAGTACTTGTGTCAAATATAAAGTTCTAGATTACTTAGGAACAATATTCCCAGAATGAGAAGCTTGGAAAATCCATGATGATAATGAATCACAGAATATCCTTGGGGTGGGGGTGAGAAGGAAGGAAGCAGGGAAAGTGAGAGAGAATAAATATGCCTCCTGCAAAGAGGCAGAGATGATGAATGTGTTTCTTTTTCCATATAAATTGAATCTTGTTGGTAATAATTCCTGTTCACTGGCCAGACAACATCAAGGTCATTTTATTTTGAATGCGTTTAAAGACTCTGGGAACCAGGCCCTTACTTGAGGTTATGAAGTCACTGGCCTTTTCTAATCCTGCTCTAGTAGAGACTAACTGGGATGGTAGAAAGCCAAAAATAAATGGAGGAAAATAATAATTGTCCCTAAGTTGCTCAGAATTTAATTTTACTGTACAAAATAAGTGAGCACATTTCTCCTATTTGCTTTTAAGTCTGAAAGCAAATAATGAGATAATACAAATTTGTAGGCTGTGGCCACTAGGATAACCCACCCTTGTTGCTGGTGTCAAAGCACAACTCATTAAAAGCAACCCTCAAGTGACTCTGCCATGTGAAACACTGAAAGTGTATGAATTTAAACCAATATAATGTTTTCTCCCAAGGAAGTGAGAAAGTGAATGGCCTTTAGAAATATGAACATATTACCTTCCCAAAAGAGACATAGAAAATAGCACACATTCAAAATCTCTTACAACTAGAAGAAATAATTACAACAAAAGAGGAATGTTTCATCCAGTGGTATACCAGACCACATATTGTTAAATTTTCAGAAATTTTGCAAACCAGTTGACATGTTGATAGCTTGGAATCCATAAAAACAAAAATCGTGTTAATCCCCAACACTCTAATGACACCTCAGGTGGCAGTTTTGCATATTTTTAATAGCTATATCATCAAGTGGCGATACTGCAGTTTACTTAACCTTTCCCTTAGCTTAACAACATTTAAGTTGTTTGCATGGTGGGAGCATTTAAACCATAAAAATTGGCAAATGCTATCAACTAGGGTTTTTCCCACAAAAAGCCAGTTATTAAACATTTATCAGCACACTACTGGCCTTATTTCTCATCCAAAACAAAACCAAATATAAAGGGGAGACTCAAACTTTAGCCCTTTGGCCATGAGAATACATCGAACATACTCTCCGTTTTTTTGAGACAGGGTTTCTCAGTCGCTTAGGCTGGAATGCAGTGGTGTGATCATAGCTCACTGCAACCTCAACTTCTTGGGCTCAAGCAATCCTCCCTGCTCAGCCTCCCGAATAGCTAGAACTATAGGTGTGCACAACACCACACCTGGTTAATTTTTTCATTTGTTGTAGAGATGAGGTTTCGCCATGTTGCCTATGTTGGTCTCGAATTCCTGGGCTCAAGTAATTGTGCCTCCTCAGCTTCCCAAAGTGTTGAGATTACAGGCATGAGCCACCGCTCCTGGCCAATATACTTTATTTTGTTTAGCACATTTTTATCCTACATTGATATATATTATATTAATCAGTTGAATTTATCTCTCTAATTCTTTAATTAAAGAATAAAAAATACAACCAGCCATGAGCATTCACTAAAACAGACCTCTAGACCTTGAAGATTTTACTATGAAGAAAAGAAATAATAAAAATTCAAACCTTTTTTAACTTGAATTTCATAAAAATAACCTAATATGGTAGTTTTCATTATTAGAACTCTTTGGAAATAAATTTGGCAACATACATCAAAGGTCATTGAAATATTTATAGTCTTTGTCTCGGTAATTCCACTTCTGAAAAGCTATCCTAAGGATATAATCTTAAATGCTGAAAAATTATATTAATCATGATGGTCATGATAGTTAAAAGTTGTGAATAAGTTAAATGTTTTTCAAACCAAGATAAAGGTTAAGTAAATTGGAATATAGCCACTTGATGATAATACAGTTATTAAAAACGTGCAAGTTTCTATCTATGATGTTGTCACAGTGATGGGGATTTAACATGTTTTGTTGGTTTTCTTTTAAACTTTTTTTAATTTCTAAGTTTTTCTATAGTGTTCTTATGTTAGTTTTGTAATGACAAAAAGAATTAATTAAAAATAGTAATTCCTGAATTGGGTGGGGGGAAAGTACAAATTCCAGCATGCTTTATTGGCTAATTTGAAGTTTCTAAGGCTAAGCTCTTTAGACTATTTTCTTCAATAATTAATTAATACAGAAGGGCTCAACTGGGTGGTAGCATTGGACCTAGATTTACTGCCCTTCCTGAAACATGCTTGCTCTGGGAACACAATGACATGCATGTTTCAAGGGAGTAAACAGGAGAAAGGTGAATGGGACTACATTGACCCGGTATTGCCTTGTTAAAACTAGTAGCCTTAATTCATTTAAGCAAAAGACTTGCCTTAGGGGTGATTCCGCACCAGAAATTAGAATACAGGCCCCGAGACTCCAGCATGGGGGCCACAATAGTTTTGTTTTCTGCAATCAGTAGATTGAGGGTCTGTGGATTAGTCAGGAAATTGTCAACATCTATGAACTAGGAAAAGAAAAGGATAATGTTAGGTGAAAAGGTACTTTTCAGTAATGAGTTTGAGAATAACCCAACCCTTCTGAAGGATCCCAGAAACTTGCTCATGACATATGGAACTAGTTATCTATGTCCTCCTTATTGAAACCCATTGCAGCTAGGTGACTTTCATTCAGTCAAAATACATTTAGTCTAACTTTCCTACGTTAGGCTCTGCATAAGGCACTAAGCAATAAATCGGTGCTGCTACACTGGGCACAGCCTCAACCAGGACCCATCCTACACTTTGGCTAGTGTTTTAGGCACAAGATATTAATGGTTCCCAAGCCATTAAAGGTTCATTCAAAAACACTTATTGACTGCCCAGTCTAGGTATAGATGGGCATACCTACTTAGCTTTTCTATAGTAATGCCAGAGTAGCTCAAAACAGATCTATCAATGTATTTTAATGTTGTAAGTAGAATTTTTGTTTAAGTACATTATATCAACTCATGCTAACCAGTGAAACTATTTCCTATTCTTAGAATTCCATGTTAACGGTGATTTATTTACAGAGACAGTATAACAACAGATTTTAACATATAAAAGAAATAATCATACTGAACTGTACACTGAAAAAGGGATAAACTGACAGATTTTACATTTTGTAGGTTTTATCACAATTAAAAAATCAGAAGTCTTCATTTTTATGATAGTCCATCTGTTTACCCAAAATTTTGTGATTTAGCATTTGTACACTTCAATGGCATTTAAACAGCTACACAACGTTAAATATTGTCAGTACAATTCGAAAACTTCCATGAAAGGATTTGTGTCACAAGTGTGCATGACACATTATTGGGCAGATTTTCACTGTGGTGGAGGGACTGGGGATGGACATAAGTTCTCAAAGAGAGCATCACTGGGAGCAACCAGGAAGCCAAGTAACAGATGCTACTCCCCAGATCATTCAGGAGCAAAAGGGAACCGATTCAGAGCTGTTCGGCTCAATTATTTTTTTAGATAATTACTTTTCATATCCCCAAATTCTTCCAAAAAGTTATAAGAACAACTTACATTGTTTTACCTACAGCATTTCCCATGAACTAGAAATATGCAGAGTTCTTATGCCTGTTGCATGACAGAGACCAAAAAATTCAGGCGCTTCTTCGCCTACCCTCGAAAATGCATGTGGGCCTGAAGATGAAGTCCAGGTAGCCCAATATTAAACTACCAAAAATTTCCTTGTTCCTTTCTTAAAAAGTCGGGGAGGCACTGCCTAAGCCAAAGGTTGTTTTGATTGCTTCCATGGTTCTAGTTTTTGGATGACTGATTTGGATACATTCAAGATGACAGCTGTCAAGAAATCAAACATCTGTTTTTACCAGAATGTAGTCTGACCATTTTTCCCTCGCAGTTCGAAGGGCTGCCTGTCGTAGTTTCATCACATGGGCAAACCGGGAGCTTGGCCAGTGCTTTGGTCCAATTTCATCAGGGTAAGACCTAAAATAATAATGATAGCTCATCATTATTGAGTACCTACATGTACCAGGCTCTGTCCTAAATGTTTATATGTATTCATTCAATCTTCTATCAACCACAGGAAGTAGATACTATTATTACAATCATCTCTATATTACAGATGAGGAAACTGGAGCAATGAGAATCAAGTAACTCACTGCTCACTGTAAACAACAATCTTTACATGAAATATTTCAATGGGTTCTCATGAGAGCCCTTTGAGGTGAGTACTACTGTTCTCCGCATTTCATAGGTGAGGATATTGGGGTAGAGCAGTTAAGTCATTCATCCAATGTTACACAATGGGGCACAATCAAGATTTGAATCCAAGCAAAAAGCTCATGTTCCTAGACAATTTTTATACATCCCAACATCAAATAAATTTAGAGAGTATGCAGTGTAAAACATGAGTTTCCCAGGAAAAACAAAGGTTTAATTTACTTGTTGGTGTCTCCACAAATGATTCCACACAGTCTAACACATTGATCTGTCTTAGATAAAGTGAGGTCATGGAATCTCTATCAAGATTCACAAAACAGCCAGGCCAAGCCTCCTCCATGGCCACACAGGCAAGTGGGTTGGAGCACACTCCAAAACCCTTCTGAAGGCACCCAACTGGCACGGACATTGATACTGTTGCAGTAACCCAAAACTGGCCACCACTTCAAGATCTCATAGCTGCACTGGCAGTACATTTGTTTTAGTGAACAAAAAACTGCAAAAACAATGAGACTGTAACTCTACAAACAAGGTTAATAAAACTATATACAGCACAGGAATTCTCTGGAATGTCTTCCCCAATTATTGTTTCAATGAAAATCAATGGAATTCTCATTTTTCTAAATATATTCCCCCCCAAAAATGCCTGCTCTAATATTTTTTCACACTGACCTTGGCATATAATAGATTTAGTCAAAACCTGGCTGCAGAGAACATTACCAAGATGCAAAGAAGGGACACAAAATATTTCTATGCCATTTTTATTAGGCCAAACTCCATTATAAGGCACTCTAAACGAGTGTTTACAATCTTTTACGGTGTTCAGACTTCACTGTTAAATTTTGCTTGAATTTGAGAAATAAATAGGTATATATTATATTATATTGTATATATTTATTTTATAATATAAATATTTATAAGAATTCTTACATATGGAGAGACTAGAAGAACAGAAACTTGTTCTGGAATAGCATTTACTATTACTATAATACAATTTCGACTTTCAATAAATGATTTATCTGGGGAAGAAATTCAGGCAACTCCTTCATTCTATTTCTACAATTGGTGAAGGTAAAATTGTAGTAGCTTTGGGAACATTTATAATAGTAAGTTTTAAACACATTTATTCTTGTTCTTATTTGTTCATCCAACCAGTATTAATTTAGTATTAATTTAGTGCCTGCCAAGAATATGGCTCTGAGGGGATAGGGGGAATATAAAGTGTTTATATATTCTAGCCCCTGCCAAAGAACTTACAATTTATTTAGAAAAAAAATACACTAATTGCATAGTTAATTAACGATGTTAGTTACGTATATCATTGTGCCAAAAAGGATGACATAGAATATAAGCAATACAATTTGAGACAAAGGTAGATATTTATAACTGAATGATTAAGAATAGGTTTCTATAGTAGGCGTGATTTAAGGTAAGAGTTAGTTATAAAGAAGGAAAGGGTCTTCCAGGACCTGCACAAGCAACAGTGTGGGGTTTGGAAATAAAAGGAACGTTCTGGATAAAGCACATTTTCTTTTGGTGCTAAATTCATGGATTTTAAAAATATAAGTCTTAGGTGTTTGAACTTTGTTCAGGTCCTAAAGAGTAAGTAAAGTATTTTTAGTAAAGAAATGAAACAATTTCATTTGTATCTGAGGTAGATTGATTTGACTGTATGGTACGTAGGATGACTTGGAGATAGAAGCAATTAAGAAATTGCTATGGTGGCCAGGTGCGGTGGCTCACGCCTGTAATCCCAGCACTTTGGGAGGTCAAGGCAGGCAGATCACGGGGTCAGGAGATCGACACCATCCTGGCTAACATGGTGAAAACCCCTCTCTACTCAAAATATGAAAAATTAGCCAGGCGTGGTGGCGCACACCTGTAGTCCCAGCTACTCAGGAGGCTGAGGCAGGAGAATCGTTTGAACCCAGGAGGCGGAGGTTGCAATGAGCCAAGATCGCGACTCTGCACTCCATCCTGGGTGACAGAGCGAGACTCCATCTAAAAAAAAGAAAGAAAAAGAAAAAGAAATTGCTATGGTAACCAAGCACAATGGCTCACACCTATAATCCCAGCACTTTGGAAGGCCAAGGTGGGAGGATCGCTTGAGGCCAGGAGTTCAAGAACAGCCTGGACAACATAGTGAGATCATGTCTCTACAAAAAATAAAAACAAAATTAGCCAGGCACAGTGGTGCATGGTTGTGGTCCTAGCTACCCAAGAGGCTGACTGAGGAGTACTGCCTGAGCCCAGGAGTACGAGGTTACAGTGGAGCTACGATCATGCCACTGCATTCCAGCTAGGGTGATAGAGTGAGACCCTGTCAAGAGATAAAGAAAGAGAGAGAGAGAAAGAAAGAAAGAAAGAAAGAAAGAAAGAAAGAAAGAAAGAAAGAAAGAAAGAAAGAAAGAAAGAAAGAAAGAAAGAAAGAAAGAAAGAAAGAAAGAAAGAAAGAAAGAAAGAAAGAAAGAAAGAAAGAAAGAAGAAAGGAAGGAAGGAAGGAAAGAAGAGAAAAGAAGGAAAAGAAAGAAAGAAGGAATTTCTATGGTTAAGATAGGAAATAACCTAAATGAGCATCAGTAGGAGATCAATTAAATAATTATGGTAAATGCACACACAACAATGATTATGCAGAAAAAAGAAAAAAAGAAAATTAGCTCCTTAACTATTGCTATAGAATGATTACCAAGATATAAGTTGAAAAAAGCAAGGTATATGTAGAAAGTATACACATTTTCACTATGATCCTTCAAATATAAAAGTTTATGTTTAAAATATGAATAAATAATATCGATATTTAAAAATATACACTGTCATGTCAATTTATTTATGAAGTAATGAAAACCTGAACTTGACTGGCAGCTGTGGGAGTAAACAGGAAGAGAGTACTGTGAAGATCTCTAAAAGGGAGAAATCGCAGATATTCAGAACTCACATAGGTGCAGAAATGAAAGACAATGAAAAGCACATGTGCCTCCAAACCTGGAAGCCCTAGAGAGCTAGTTAAAGAGGAAGGGTAAATAATGAGTTTACAAATTTTGCTCTTGCTACTCACTCCGGTTCATCCATAGGCCTCCACTCGACATAGTGATAGAGTCTCTGTACATTTTTCAGCCACTCCCTGAGTATTTCTGTTGTATTATCCACATTGTGATCGGTGGCTGCCCTGCATGAGAGAAAGCACAATATAGTTTAACTATGTCATCCACAGAAAGAGAGGGAAATCCCAAAGACACCAAACTAACTGAAAGAAGAATGGCTACTCCTGGAAAAAAAAATTGTATATGTGAAAATAATTCCCTCATAGTCCAAACTAGACAATAAATTTCTAAAGTGAGAGACACTGCTTAAAATCATCTTTGTGTCGTTAGATGCTTAAACAGGGCTCAACCAATTGGAGAATGTGTAAATAGTTGCATTAATAAATAAACACATGAAAACACCAAGGATAAAATGAATTAACTGAGAGTCAATTAATGAATCTTCTTGGAAATTTTTCTATATGTTTTAATTTTCAGTTACCCGGAATGTAAACTCTGCTTTTTAACTTCACTAACAATGACCCTCAATTTGAGCAATAATTCTGCTTTATCTTCATTTCAAGTCAATTTCTGACCACAACAAAATATCTAGTCAGTGCTGCTTTAATCATTGTGAAGCTACAATAATAATTCTTAATATAAAACTCAAAAATTAAGGTATCTTCAATTATCTATTTTGGATTAACTTTATCATCACATTTACAAAATAGAGCATTTTCAAAAGTCTTTAAATAATGTATACAAAACTTGTGCCTGTTCTACCTTGAAAGTTTAACAAATGAATCCGCTTGTAAAGGGGCTTAACTCATTTATTAAAAAAGTATTTTCAAATTGTATCGCAAAGCAAAACCCAACACATGTAAAACAGTTATTCAGAACACCTATAAATGAAGAGATAATGAAATGAAAAACAGAAAAAGAGAAAAAAGCAGGAGTTGTAATCCTGACAACAAACAAGGTAGAATTCAGGACAAAGAGCATTAAGATGACAAAGAAAGAGACTTTATAATACTAAAGGAGGCCATTCACATCAAAATATACCAAGTGTGAATTTCTATGCACTTTCATATACTACAGGAGTTGGCAAACTTTCTTTCAAGAAATAGATGGTAAACATTTTAGGTTTACAGGCTATATACTATCTGCAACTACTACTTAACTCTGCCATTGTAGTGATACATCAGCCATAAACAATATGTAAATGAATGAGCATTGCTGTGTTCCAACAAAACTTTATTTATAAAAACAGGCAGCTGGTATGTAGGCTATAATTTGCTGACCCCTAATATAGTAGAAAGTATAGAAACTGTAAAGAAAAACAGAAATAACAATAAGAGATATTAACATACCACTTTCAGTTAAAGATGGTACAAATGGGGAAAAAGTAAGTATATATAGGATCTATACAACGCACTAATAGAGACTTCTCAAGTGCACATGGAACATCTACTAGTACTGACCAACAATTACATCCCAAAGAAAGCCTCCATAAAATTGAAATTATATAAACAACATTCTCTGATCTAAATGACATATACATAGAAGTTGATAATAAAATAAAACCCCCTAAATCCACTAAAAACTCTCTTACAAAGTCCTTTTTTAAAAAATAAATACAAGACAATTTCAGAACTTCCAAAAATTAATAGTGAAAACACTACATACCAGAATTTTGGGATACAATTAAAGCAGTAATTAGAGAAAAATTCAGTTTTATATGCTTAAATAAATAAAAATAAATGCGTTAAATTTCTACTCAAAAAGCTAGGAGAAAAGCAACAAAGTAAACATATATAAAGAAATTAATAAACATAAGGGTAGAAAGTTGTGAGATATAAAACAGGAAAAGAGTAGAAACAAACTAAAATGCTGCTTCTTTGAGAAAAATCAATAAAAGACAAGCCCTAGTTAATCTACCTAAGACAAACAAATATAAAACAGTAAGAAATGGTAAGGATGGGAAACAATATGATTGATTTGAAAGAAAAATTTTAAAAATGTGTAATCAACTACTTTGTACAACTCGATGATAAATAACTTTGAAAACTAAATATAATAGAAGATTTTCTAAAAAAATGCATGTTAGCAAAATTAACTCCTGAAGAGATATAAAGCTTAAATGAATAACTTCCATGAAGACAGTAAGGAGGAAAAAAACCCAACTAGGCTCATGTGTTTTTACAAGGGAATTCTACCAAATCCTACAATAGATACTTCCAATGCTCTACACCTTGTTATCCAGAGTGTAGGGAAAAAAATGAAAATTCTAAGTTGTTCTAATATTGCAAGTATAATATTGATGTCTAAACCTTATGAAGATTTACACACACACACAAAACTATAGGCCAATATCCTTTAATGCATATGCTGCAAAAATCTTAAATAAAGTATTAACAAACAGAGTCCAACATCTTATTAAGAAAATATAGCATGGTCTAAGAATGTTTAATATGAAGGAATTTCATTGACATAATTCACTATGTTAATGGACCTGGAGAAAAATCATGATTATCTCTGTAAATGTGTAAAAAGTCTTTAACAAAATTCCACACCTATTCCTGGTTTTTAATAACCACACAGAATAAAATTCAAGCAGATACTAAAAAAACAAGCCACTACAATTAAAACTGTGTGGTAATGACACAGGGATAAATGACACAGGGAGCCCAGCGGCACAGAACAGAAAATATAGAAATTTAGTGTATGATAAGGGTATTATGTAACATTCCCATGTAACAAACATGCACATATACTCCCTGTATCTAAAATGAAATTGGAAATTTAAAAATAAATAAAGTTTCACCAAAAATATATATACATATAATACGGGTTTGAAAAATGATCAGAGGTACACATGAAATAATTTAGTTTTTATTGCATCATTACTTCCACTGCGATTTGTAGGACGATTTAAAATAAATTGAAAGAAAATATAAATAAAGGGCGAGTACAGTGGTTCATGCCCGTAATTGCAGCACTTTGGGAGGCCAAGGTGGGCAGATCATTTGAGGTCAGGAGTTTGAGACCAGCCTGATCTACATGGTGAAACCCGTCCCTACTAAAGAAAACCAAAAAATTAGCTGGGTATGGTGGCACGTGCCTATTAGTCCCAGCTACTCAGGAGGCTGAGGCAGGAGAATCACTTGAACCTGGGAGGTGGAGGTTGCAGTGAGCCGAGTTCGGTCCACTGCACTCCAGCCTGGGTGATAGAGTGAGATTGTGTCTCTATAAATATAATAAATAAATAAAGCATACACATAAAAAACAGTGCTTTTCATTAAAATGAACCATTATAGTTTTTACTTGATTTTAAATTGCCTCTAAATATATTCAAATTTCTTTATCTCCTAAAAAAATAACATTTAAGAGAGGTAATGTTCAGAAATGTTCAAGAGAGAAAAATACATTGTTAAGCAATGCACGGTGGAACTCTATTTAGATAGGGAATACATTTCTGTAAAATACCAAGTAACTTAAAACTATGTAACTTAAGTCATAGGGTATAGAAAAATGGGACATAGAGGTACATAACTAGTATTTGAAAATATTATTTTGTAAAATAGATACTTAAACTAAAACTAGGCTAATTAAAAACATTATCCAATAACTAGAGATGACACCAATGGCCAACTTGATCTACTTTCAAGTGTCTTCTTGAAATTAGATGAGAACCAGCTCCTCTCTTCACCGCAAGGTCTAGGAGGGAGAAAGACCCACAGGTCCACCTGGACATTCCATGGCCTGGAGAGGGAGAGAGGTGATGTGTGAAGCTGACAGTTTTGAGGGATGCGAGGTGAGCACCTTAGGACCAAGATGGGGTAGGAGGAGCCCTTAGCAACTCACAGAGGTGGGAAAGTGGCCCAGAAAGCAACGTGGAAGAAGGCCACAGGCTCCACCGAGTTTGTGATTGTGCCAAAAAGTGCAAAGTCAGCAAAAGTCACGTCCATTTTGACTCATGGTCACAAGCTACCAACATCCAGGGTAACAGGTGGCCATGAAGAGCACAATGAGAATCCTACCACTGGTCTTGTAACAGGAAGCATGCAGAGAGCAATTCCTGAAACTCGGAATTTACCATAAAGCACCTTATTCTTCACTCAAAACATTATGAAGAGGAGTAAGTTAAAACTAAACGAAACAAAAATTCCTCATCACAGTGTTAGCCAAAAGTTATGAGAATTCTACATTATTCTTACATTATTTATAAATGGTGTAGGAGAATTTGCCAGGTGCAGTAGCACACACCCTTAGTCCTAGCTACCTGAGAGGCTGAGGTAGGAGGATCACTTGAGCCCAGGAGCTCCAGGCTGCAGTGAGTACAACTGTGCCTGTGAATAGTCACTGCACTCCAGCCTGGGCAATATAGCGAGACCCCATCTCTTAAAGAAATAGTCTAGGTAATTTATACATCATCTACTTCTTTCCCTGGTTGTTGTTTCTTCATTACACAGGACTTCTTAAATTCTCTTTGCCTTCTCTACATCAATGCATTCCCATTTCCTAATCCTTTTGACAGAGTTGGTCTTATTGTACGAAATGCATTTTCCTGGTGTACAGATTAAACAACTCCAAAACCTGCCCAAGCATCCACTCCTGATGAACATCCTTAGAAATTAGCTGCCTTAGAAGTATGCAGAGGTAAAGATGTCTAATTAAAAACAGATGCACAGATTTCAAATATTCTCTTTACTGAGTTAAAAAATTGTCTGTACTCTTACTTCCCTGAATTAAGATTCTCTTTGTTCTCAGGCTTCTGAGGAAATGAACATGTCCTCCAGTTGTGGTTGGAGACAGGTGCATCCATCCTGGTCTTTGAAGTGCAGGGCCAATCTCTCCTACACTCATTCCCAGAGGAGGAAGAGGCCCTGGCCACACCAGCCCACCGAGGAAGCCTCGCAGCCCCACTGAAGACTGAGTTTCCCTGCTCCTCCTCCCCACTGTCAAAAAAAGGCAAAAACGAAGAAATCCAGGCAGACACTCCTAACTGCTGCCTTGTAATCGCTCTGACAAAAGTATGTTTCCATTTGAATGCATAATAATGAAAGCATTACAGGCCCTGGGCTATTCAGAGGGTTGGACAGAGAGAGATACCAAAGGCTCAGATGCAAGCTCTCTGGAGGAAACC